TGCATATGCGATTTATATGTTTTCACTTGATCAGAATGAATAAGAAGCTTTTTAAAAAAATAACTATTATTTCTTGGTCAAGTTTCTTTTAGACCTTATCGACAAAATATTATTATTTTTGTGTGTTTGTTTAAATTATTCATTAAATAAAAATTATTATTAAGTTTTAGTAAAAATGAGCAGAAATTTACACGGTAATCTTTAATCATATATTTTTTGGTTTTAAAAGTGTGATATATATGTCACTCTATGAACATTAGTATACTGTTGCGTACATCGATATAATGCAAAACCAAAATGTGATATATGTCACTCTCCATCATGATTGTCACGTCGGCCGACATGCCACCAGTTGAACCATTCAACCGGTACCGGTCATGAAATCGACATGACACCATCAGTATGACCGGTATGATCGTTTTACGAATTGCTAAGTAAATTACGTAGTTTTAGTGAATTTAAGTATGAGTACATGTAATTTTATTTGAAATATCATATTTTATTCAAATATCAATATGAATTGTACGTAAATTGTCTTCAAATATGGTTTATATATGATTAAATTCATTTGATATTAATAACTCATTATATTTCTACATATTTTATTAAACGGCATGAAACGATACAAACAGGTTGTACCACTGGTAAAACCATTCCACTTGCTAAACATGTTTGATAACCTTTCTCTCCATATCTATCTATCTATCTATATCTTCTATCTTCTATATCTATCTATCTATATCTATCTATCTATCTATCTATCTATCTATATCTATACTAAATATTATGGCTATTCAAAAATAACTTCTTGCCACATAAGCACTTGGTGAATGCACAAGTTGCCAAGGTGGACAATTGTTTTTCAAACAAAAAGCTATTTATTGATCTATTTATGAAATTGTCTCTCTCTTATTTTAATAATTCTACTCATTTTTACTAAAATTAAAATAAGTTAATTTTTTAGGAAACATTTAAACAAAAAACACACACCTAAGTAATAAAAAAAATTCGATTAAACAAACTATAAAGATGGAAACAGAGAGTGACATATATTGTATTTGTTTAACCTAAGCTGATTAAATCTGATTAAGTAAATTTTCTACTATTTTTACTAAAACTTAATAATAAGTTACATTTTTATGAAGAAAAAAAAAACAAGCACACACATAAATATTAATATTTTTCAATACAAAATATAAACGATGGTCTAAGAGACAACAATCAATCGACTTTGAGAAATGAATGATATGACTATATATTTTTTGCTATCAAACACTCACTTCTTTCTTATGTATATAACTATCAAATAAAACAAGTATAAATTATATAGCAAAATGTCTGAATATAAACTTGATAGAGCAATAATTGTTATTTTTTTTAAAACTTCTTATTCATTTCTATTAAATGAAAACATATTAATTATTAATGCAAACTTTTAATTTTTTTCTATCCCTTTCCCAATTTTTATTGTCTCTCTAGAAATAAAATCCAACATTGAAAATAAGAAATCAAGAAAGTATGTCAACCACCATAAAAATAAACAAAACCCTCTTATTAGTTGCTAAATTTTTTAAGATTTCTAATATCTGTATTCTCATAATTTATAGAGAAGAAAATGGTAATGCATACGATTTTTTTCTTTGTATGAGAATAAGAGGCAGAAATTACACGAGTTAACGATAAGATGACAAAATTTTGAGCAGTTGTAACATATTTTTGCCTATTGACGAAAAAAGTTAATCTGATCATTGTTAAGATGAGGTGAACCAAGCTGAGGGTTGTCGACTGCTCCCTCTTTCTCCTTGATCTGAAGCTGACAACTGGTCTCACTTTCTCAACGATATGTTATTGTTTGTGGTTGACTGGCCGAGTTACACTCTTTTTCTCGTTCTTTTCTTAATTTCTTCCACATTACGACTGCTGGATGGTAAATTTTCCCACTCTCGATGAGTGAATATATTTCGTCTTTGTTTTTTACTAAGAAGGATCGCTATATACTTTCATGTATATAAAATATAATTAGAAGTGTTAATTGGTTGGACTTAGGGCATACCTCCTTTGGTTGAATAATTGATTGTTTTTCTTGAATGCCTATTACAACCCGATTTCTTGAATGTTGAAATGGAAAGTAGAGTTGTGATGATTGTTTATTATATTTTATGTATAATAACTATCAAACACTCACTTCTTTCTTATGTATATAACTATCAAATAAAACAAGTATAAATTATATAGCAAAATGTCTGAATATAAACTTGATAGAGCAATAATTGTTATTTTTTTAAAAACTTCTTATTCATTTCTATTAAATGAAAACATATTAATTATTAATGCAAACTTTTAATTTTTTTCTATCCCTTTCCCAATTTTTATTGTCTCTCTAGAAATAAAATCCAACATTGAAAATAAGAAATCAAGAAAGTATGTCAACCACCATAAAAATAAACAAAACCCTCTTATTAGTTGCTAAATTTTTTAAGATTTCTAATATCTGTATTCTCATAATTTATAGAGAAGGAAATGGTAATGCATACGATTTTTTTCTTTGTATGAGAATAAGAGGCAGAAATTACACGAGTTAACGATAAGATGACAAAATTTTGAGCAGTTGTAACATATTTTTGCCTATTGACGAAAAAAGTTAATCTGATCATTGTTAAGATGAGGTGAACCAAGCTGAGGGTTGTCGACTGCTCCCTCTTTCTCCTTGATCTGAAGCTGACAACTGGTCTCACTTTCTCAGCGATATGTTATTGTTTGTGGTTGACTGGCCGAGTTACACTCTTTTTCTCGTTCTTTTCTTAATTTCTTCCACATTACGACTGCTGGATGGTAAATTTTCCCACTCTCGATGAGTGAATATATTTCGTCTTTGTTTTTTACTAAGAAGGATCGCTATATACTTTCATGTATATAAAATATAATTAGAAGTGTTAATTGGTTGGACTTAGGGCATACCTCCTTTGGTTGAATAATTGATTGTTTTTCTTGAATGCCTATTACAACCCGATTTCTTGAATGTTGAAATGGAAAGTAGAGTTGTGATGATTGTTTATTATATTTTATGTTCATGATTGACATGCTACTACTAGCTAGCTATACAATAATGACCTGGTTAGTAATTAGTAGGTAGCAAATGGGTTATAAGTAGAAGTGAACATAATTGGGATTTTATAAAGGTCGCGAAGAAGAAAGAAAATGATAATTATGGTTTCTCGGTTGTCTATTTCAATGATTTTTTAATTTCTACATGTTTGCAGTGTCATTTGTTTGTTTCATTAAGGTGAATTTTTCTGCATTGAATCCCTAACTAAAGATTGATTTTGACATGATTGTTTTCTTACAAACTACTATTTGGATTGATGCATATATTCCGTTCACAAATGAGGAATCTGAATGATAAAATGAGTTGAGTTGTATTGAAAACTGCTCCTTTCATTATTTGTCTATGTTGTTATTAGGTAATAAAGCACAATTCTTTTCTGCCGGAGATATGTAGCTCTCTACAAAATATAAATTGTGTTTAATTATATGCAGTTTAATTTGCTGAAAATATTGCTTTAATAAGTTAGTGACAACTGATAGTTTCGTTTGTGGTTGGTTTTGCTAGAACATTTCAAGGTAATTAAACAAGTACGTGGAAGATTGATGGACGTGGATGCTAATGAGTTTCCTCATTATTCCAAAATTGTATGTGTAAGTGATAATACACGATATTCATGGGATTTGGATCGGAATATTCTCTATTATCATATACCGACATATGAGAAGGGAGAGAAAATAAAAAGCTCTTCACTTATTTTTTTTTATTAATTGAAGCATATTTTCTTATTCTAACTTCTTCTTTTGTGGCCGTAGGTTTTTTAACTTCTTTATCACAATTCTGTGCTAAAGAATGAATAATCTCTTATGTTTATAATCTTAAAGGGCGAGTTCGATAAAAAAATTCTAAATCAATAAAGAACCGTCTACAAAGAGCTCAGTTAATAAAATTAAAATGTTCATAAATAAACAAAAGATATAAAAGTATGAAATAATACCTGAAATAAGATAAGTGGGATTTACAATTCCATGTATATTACCTTAGCAATCATAAATAATAATAACAATTATAATACTATAACGAATTATAAAACAACCAAACAAAATACACCGCCCAACGGGCGGGTAAAAAACTAGTATTATTTATAGATATAATGCAAAAACAAAAGCAAAATAATTATTGGATAAAAGAGAATTAAATATTAAATGAAGAGAGAGGGACAACTCCATAAATAGGTCAATAACTATTTTTTGGTAAAAAATTGTCCACCTTGGCAACTTGAGATCTCTCCAAGTGCTTATGTGGCAAAAATTTAATTTTGAATTACCATAATATTATGTATAGATAGATAGATAGATAGATAGATAGATAGATAGATAGATGAGAGGGTTAAAGTGGATAATAATAATAAAAAAGTTGACCACTTTTTTTTTTTTTTAAAAGTGAGATCTCAAAATAGCTAAACTCTCCTATTCTGAAAACTAATACTTAAAAAGTCAAAATATCACATGAATATAAACCTTAAACTTCTGAACCTATGATTTAGATAAAACACTTTATTCAATAATCCATATCAAACTCTATTTCTCGGACGGGGCATTTGCAGGGAAGTATTCTCATTTTCTCTCTATCTAGGTCAGTATCGTGTCTTTTTGCTCCTTGGAGTTTTCGTAGAGCTACCCGTCTAGTGACAAAAAAAGTCTCTTTCATCGGGAGTTCAATTGCATATGGACTATCGTTCTTTATTTTTGTCTGTCTTTTGTATATGTTTGTCCGGCCATACCCTTGGGCTTATGTTGGTTAAAAAAAAATTCATCTATACAATAAAAATCCATGTTCGTGAATGTGGCTTAGAGCCCACAGCTGCATGTGTGTCCAGGCCCCTAACAATGAGCTCCTTACTCTGGTAGGCCCAATAGTGTTTAAACATTGCAGGCCCAAATTTTAAAAAATACGATAGCAAACAAAACCAATAATCCACGTCTGATTATACCAGAAAAGGGAACAGAGGAGATGAAATGAGCGAATTTATGCCCGGATGACCACACTGAGCAGTCCATTGCGCTCCATCGCCGCCCAAAACTCACCGTTGCCGGAGGTCTCGTTGGTCTCAGTCAGCCTCTAGTATCTGTTCGCTGTCAAGTCCGATCCGATCGGCGACCGGTTCACTATCCATGACGGACTCCAATTCCATTCCCAGGTCCAGTATCGTATTATTCCTTCTTCGCCCCTCTTCGCCATCTTTCCCTTTGAATTTTAATCGAACCTCGGTGGATTTTTTTTTTATACTAATGGCAGCTCTGCTCATCCGGCTTATACGGAGATCGTCGTCGTTCGTCACGGGCGAAACGGAGTGGAATGCTGATAGAAGGATTCAGGTTAGCTTTCTGCCTTTCTCCCACTCGTGTAGTGGATTAGTCTGGCTTAGGGATAGTCATCCGGCTCATTTTGGAAATGTTCCATCCATGCGACCCCTTAGGCACTTTAGCGCTAGTTGTTGGGCTTCTGTGAAAGTTTCATACTGTTCGATGTCCAGAATAGCCCAGCTTAGTTTGATTGCATAGAGCTAAGTTTGATATACTTGGTGCTAACCAGCTGCATTTCCTTTTCTCCCTCTTTTGTCTTTTTCAATTGGTTGCCCTCGTCCCTGGTATCTTTTGGGGACCTAATGTAGCCTTACGCCTACTACTTGCCACAGGGACATGTCGACATTGACCTGAATGAAGTTGGGAGACAACAACAAGCGGCTTTGGTAAATCCTGTGTCCTAGTCTATTGCTTATTTTTGGTGCTTATGACCGGCATATTAATACCCACTTGATGAATGGGAAGTTTTCTGTTTGTTGTTTAAGGTGGCTGATCGACTATCCAAAGAGCCTGAGATTTCTGCTGTATATTCTTCCGACTTGAAACGAGCCTTTGACACGGCACAAGCAATTGCTGATAGATGTGGTGGTATTGAGTTATGAGCGCTGCTGCAGGTTTCTGCAACTTGTGCTTCTTAGGCAACAATCAGAAGGATCTATAATACTTGGTTTGCTTTTTTTTTACTAGTAACATTGATCTGAGCTGAAAAAATTATCTCTACTCCTTTTTCATTGTCCGCGCTTGATATCAAGTTTTGTCATAGTAGTAACTTTCAACATTCTGTTATGTGTGATTCTGTGTTGGTTTCTATACATTTTTTCATCTGGTACAATAGTTTTTTTCTGATTCCCTAAAGCTTCCAGGTCATCAAGGAACCAGGGCTACGGGAAAGACATTTAGGGGATCTTCAAGAACTTTCGTTAAGTGAAGCTGCCAAAGTTTCTCCAGAAGCATATGAGGCATTTTTATCCCACAAAACCAGCCAAGAAATCCCTGTATGCTGTATTTCCATTACTATTTTAATTTTTTTTTTATTCATTTGCTGGACAGTTGTAAATTGCAATGTCCTGTAGGCTGAATCTGCCTAAGTTCTCAGTTTTATGGTTCAAGTTTGAAACTATCACATTGGCTTGTCTAGTTAGGTTAATTGCATAGAATTCTGAACTAGTCCTAAGGCTGCCTGTCTTGTAGTGTGAATTACGACAGTTTGGCTAGTAGAATTTCTTTGTGTTAACAGTAACACATAATCCTGTGATTATAAGACAAGTAGAATCTTGGAGTTGACTAGTATATAAAGCATGCGAGACACAGTTTTAATAAATTATATCTGTGCTAATAATCTGCAGTGATGCTGTTTCCTGCATGCACAGGGTGGTGGTGAGAGTCTTGATAAATTATATGAGCGTTCCACATGTTCTTTTCAAAGAATTGCAGCGAAACATCGAGGTAAACTGTCTATCATTACTTCCTCAGTTCCTGATGTATCAGTTGACACTTACATTTTTAGCACAAAGACCTACAAAACCCAACATAGAGAGCTCGAGCTGAGTACCTGCATACTATTACATTTGTGGATACTAGTCATGTGGCCTACAAGAAGTAACACAGAGAATTAGTACTTTTGAGTAGTCTATTCTTCCCTGTTAATCTCCTAGCTCTCGGAGGAAACCTGTACCATCTACTCTAATGATCTTATCCAGCTATCGCTTTAATGTTGCTAACTTGCAGGTGAGCGAGTGGTCGTGGTGAGTCACGGAGGCACCATCAGATCACTACACAAGCGAGCTTGCCCTAATGGGAGGCCTGCAAAGATACCGAATACTTCTGTGCACATCTCTCGCATATCCGATGGAGACGAGTGGACCATAGAATCTTGGGGTGATGTTAGCCATCTCAACCAAACGGGATTCCTGGAGTCCGGTTTTGGTGGTGACAGAACCTCTGGTTAGCTGCACTTAGAACCAACCCCTCCTCCTACCAAGGAAGTAAACTCGTCACAACGGACAGCAACCCTCTGATGTGATGGAAGTGATTTTACACTTGTACCGATATCTATTGTTGTTTGATGGATCATAGCTGGCTGATATCTTGTAGTGGTATCTGCAACTGCAAGTCATCGACTTTATAAGCTGTATTTACTATTTAGCATCTCCAAACTTTTCAGTTTCGAGACTCCATTGGACGGGAAGTTGACACTTCGAAGCAATGGCAGTAGCTGGAGGAGGAAGCGTGGCCCAGCACCAACTACTAGATAAGGTGAAGGGTAATTATGTATTTTTATCCTAGAATACATCGAGTTTGTATATGTGAATGGAAGAATATGTGTATTGTCGTAGTAGTGTTTTAGCTTGGAGGGATTATAATGGCGGGTCTGCAAAAATTGCAGGCATTGTTGATTTTTTTTCCAAGTAACTCCAAAGATTTCTGGAATTCATGATATCACATGTAGTTTGGAATTGCATGGTGGGCCGAAATGTATGGTAAATTCATACCAACAATGAAACGTCAGAAACCATGTTTACTCGTGATCACAAAGAACAATTCATGGGTTACTAGTCAACTCTAAGACAACTAACCCATTATTATTCACCCTAGTTGATTTTGTAACCATTTTTGGTAGTGTATAAGCCATATGAATATGATTGACCTAATCATTCTTTAAGAATTCAAATTCCACGATCAAGTTGATGATTGAAGTTGCTTGTTATGCACATCATGGAAATATTCCAATCGATATATATATAATATTAATTGTAGGCAACACACAAAACTAACACACATATATAAGGATGGCAAAAAAAAAACCCCAATATTTGGTATCCAAACTTAACATGTTATGAGTCAAATCAAAATTGGATAATTTTACTTTTGGGACAGACCCATACCCCAAATTGTAATTTGGGTCGAACTTGGACTCATTTATTGAAGACATAAAAGAAGATGAATACTCAATTCTAATGTTAGTTGTTTGCCTTATTTATTGTTATGAAATAAACATAAAAAAGGCAACATCAACATTAAAGGTGTAGTTCGATTGAACATAGTTAATGAGATGGTCGATATTATCGTTTTTTTGTGTACATTGATCATTTGAACCTAACTAAATAAACTCATTTGAGTCATATCCAAAAAAGTTTATCCAAATTGTATTTAATTCAAATCCAACACAAACTTAAAAATTTGATCAAATACTCGTATGACTCATGATAAGTGAACCAAATTACCCACGAATCCGACTCATTCTCATTCCTATATATATATAGGTGACTACTTCGGCGCACTCACAAAAATGAGTGCGTTCAATGCACCCAACTCAAAAACTAGTCTTAAGGAGTCGAATTTTGAATTTTAATTTGTAGAATTAGTATAATATGATGATATAACATATGATAACAACTAATTAGCGGATTACCCTAAGCCCTGGATCTCCAATTTTGAGTTCTATCCCTAAACCCCAAACTGTTAACCCTAACCCTAACCCTAGATCTTTAAACTCTAAATCCTTCAAATTAAAGCAAATCTTTCATGGTTTTTGTGCAAATTCATGTGCGTTATTGTTCATCACATCATAAGTGATGATTGACATTATTTTGACATAAATCTCATGTTTAAAATGACGATTATGAAGCGAGTACACTGAATGCACAAAAAAAAATTGAGTGCACCAAAGACGCCACCATATATATAACTAAGCAGGAATCCATGCATCAGACTAGGGAAGGAAAGAATCATGCATGTGACAGTCGGTCGCTCTGCCTTAAGAAATATCATATCTAGGTGGTTGGCCAACAATTGTTTTTCCCAAACTATCAATAAAATTCTCACTGTCTTAGTTGGAACCAGAATAAGGCTAAGTTTCCTCTGACCATTGGGCTGTCAATTCGTCAACCATCACCACATATCCAGATTCTCTAGTATACATTTTCTTAATTATATATATTTTTGGGAAATAGGAGAAGGTTAGTTGATTTCAAACAAACTATCACAGGCAGGCAGGAAGAAGATCATACAATTGACTTGTCTCATTCAAACTATATATTAACTCCAATTTCCCAACCAAATTCTCGGTTTCCAAGAACCCTCCTCGTATACTTGGGACCAAAGAAACATATTTTTTAGACCGCAATTATATTGATCGTATTTGTTGGGATCGTCAACAGGGTTTTCTGGCACTCGGTCCTGTCTTTCCCAACTCAGTCTATCATGGGTGTGCCGCATTTAGTTACGTGTTGTTTGATTACCGTATTTTCAGCGGTTAGATGAACATCCAGGGGCGGAGCTACTGTCAGGGTAGTAGTATGGAAGAGAATGATTGAAGACGTGATTATATCACTCTTCTTAGAGTATTTATTTGCCCCCACTACTTCGTTGATGGTAGGATTTAGGCAAACCACCCCCAGGAGTCCCTCCAATCAAAGTCAGAAAGCAGCACCTTTCGTGACTTCTGTGTTTGTGTTTTTGGAGAAGGAAAAACGAGGAGAAGAAGATGAACATTTGAACAGAAATTCGGCTGCAAAAGACTTTTATAGTGAAAACGGCAGTTCCCTTCCGAAGGGTTACGTCGTTTCACAAAATTCAAAATCAAATAATTATCCGGATTAATTAATTAAAATAATTCCGGTAATTAATTAGCCAAAAATTCAAATCCGAACGCTAAGTGCGTAGTGCGATTTAATATGTCAAATTAAATAACCCACACTTTTTCCAAAAGCCCACTAGCCACTTTATCCAATAACTAAAGTGGAAAGCAAACTTAAAAACAACTTGCACATTCCTTCTCCCACCAATGTGGTATTTCCTTTACTCTTTGACTACTCTAACAGCTACACTGAGGTCCGAGGCTAGGGTAGGCCCCAGCCCCTGCCTCCCGGGATTGGTCTCGGCCCCTAGGATCGTAAGGATATTTAATTCAAATTTTATAAATAGTATTTGTTCCGCAAATTTTGTTGTGTAATAGTCATGTGGTCAAATGGTGGGCTAGCAAAGCTTGATTTGTGTTTTAAAGCACACGGATTTGATCCACCTTGGCTATATACAGTTTGATTTTTTTTTTTTTTGTCCCCGGTCTCGTAATCCTAACTCCGCCTCTGTGAACATCGCATGTGTTATTTATGAAAATGTTAATGTAGTAATTGAATGACTGAAAATCTATGTACAAGAATCAGAAGATGTAAGCAAAAAGGCCTATGCACACACTTGTAATAGTATTCTATCCAAAAAAAATTCTTCCTGTTAGTTTATAAGTAATGGTTCTCAAAATGCAAATTTGAGGATTTTTATGGATAAGTTGATTGTGATATTTTGTTATGTTTAAAGGGGAAAAGGGAAGCAAAGGTGATTTGCATATGATTATATAATAAATTTCGAATGCGCTTCACTCAAGGTGATAACACTCAAAATAGTGTTATTTAGCCTTTATATTTTAGGTCTTTTTTGGTCATTTTATGGTCTCAATGGCTAATATATATATTTTATCAAATGCATCCCGAATCCGTTCCTTGGAGTAATTTATGTCATTTTAGGATGTATTAAATGATACTTGCGTTTTAGACACAAAATGGGGGTCACAACGGTAGGAAAATTAGCAAAACAAGGAGACCACGGCTAAAGGAAAGAGATCACGGCAAAGAAGAGGAGTCACGAAGTCTAGCAAAAGATCACGACATCTGGAATGGACAGAGAATTACGATAGTCGACTCACAACCTTAGTTGTTCAAAATCGCAAGAGAGATCGCTGCCTCGACTTATGGATCGCGACCGTGAAGTCATGTTGCGAACTCGAGGTGACCATCCCCTGCCAGTTGGGATGTCCACCTAGTTAATGCTAGGATGATATGTGTGTGACCATTGACGACATATCGAACTAGTTTGCATATAGGTGCAACCTATTTGGAAGGAAATAGACTGTATCCCTAGTTCGTGAACCTGATGGAGGTGACATTGGGTCAGCAAATCGGATTAGGAGTGAGGCTAGGTTCATGACCATTAAGCTAGTCCTCACATTAATGATTCTCGCACTTTTTTTCCCACAAACCGACAGAGTTATCCTTTTGGATGATAGGCCAAGTATCTAGAGCGAGGGTGATGCCCCGAGTACCTACTTTTTATCTATGCTTTCATAGCCAGTTATTTTCATTTGTCCTCCCTCCAAACAAACCTAAACTTTATCGACTAGATTATTGTCTTCACTTTCCTTCTCTAGCTCTCTTAGTACTCTTGAAATAGTTCGTAAACACTATAGTTGTCAATCCCTCAAAGTTTGTGGCTAGCGCCATTGCGAGGAGGTGTTCCAAGCAAAGTCCATATGGATATTAATAGAGGAGGATACTCAAACTATTGTGAATGAGTACTCTTGATCCTACAACTCTTCCTTTTGCGTCATTCTAAAAATAAAATTTTATACTTCAATTCTTATGCCTTGCCTTAGATATTAATAGAGGAGGAGACTCAAACTATTGTGAATGAGTACTCTTGATCCTATAACTCTTCTTTTTTGCATCATTCTAAAAATAAAATTTTATACTTCAATTCTTATGCCTTGCCTTGGTTATATTTCTGTTGTGTGAACTCAAAATCCAACAGCTCTTACCTGTTTTTTGGTAAGTGCGAATTAAGAAGATTATACTTGTTATGTGGATTGATTCTCATACATAATCTTATTTGGAAGGCTTAATACACTTTCATAGCCATAACTATTCGCGTTGTGACAATTATAGCCACTTTTTGAAAAATACACTCATATGACCACTTTTGAAAACTTGCTTAACAACTTTAGCCATTTCCGTTACAAACTTTAACATCATCAGCAATTCCGTCAATAACATTAACTGATGTGACCAAAGTACGCAGCTTTCCTACTTTTTATGGGTTTTCGAAGCTTTTCTCCAACGAACAAGAACTCGAACAAAAGATAATGATGGAACACGATCAAACAGATTCCAACTCGTGTGAAAGGCCAATTGGTATATGAAACCAATCAAACAATCACCCACTCTTGAATAAGGCCAATCGCTATTGGGTAGAAGCTCGCCACAACTAGACGCGTTCTCTAGTTGATAAGAGACACGTGAAACTCCTGGAGCACTCTCAACAGAAGCTTGCACAAAGAACTAGTTCGTATGAACTTGTAACTTGAAAGTTGATTGATAATTGAATGAGTTACAATGAAGAACTCAGCCTCTTATTTATAGACTAGCTAACACAAATCCAAAGCTTAAAATGAAAAACAAGTCCTACAAGTAAAAGGAAAAAACACAATCCTTAAAAGACAAGTAAAAGGAAAACACAATCCTTAAAAGACAAGTAAAAGACTTGGTCAACAACTCTCTAGATTCTAGCCTTGCAATCCTCCCCCGCATGGCTTGTGTTCACACCTGATATTCCTTTCACACTTGTACTCCTTTTCACACCTTGTGTTCACACCATGGGAGATCTTCCTTCCTTCTACCAAGCCCATCTTCTCTTCATTCTAGTCCATAAATCGTAGCAACGTGATGGACTTTCCTTCTAGCAAGTCCACGTCCATCAAGAATGATCCCATTTGATCCTTGTATCGTCGTACTCGGACCTTCATCTTTGGACCACGAGAATTATATATTCTGCCAATTGATTTCACATCAACAAACTCGTAGGCCTTGCTTGCAAAGACCTTTTCTTCCACCTTGAATGCTTTCAAGCTCTCTTTAAACCTCTTAACTCGTCTCTTGAACCATGGTCCATGTAGGTATCTAGTTTGAGCTTGAGTGACGTCATGCGGGGTGAGCGGGGTCGCATCATTCCCTCCCTCTTGAAAAAGATTTGACCTCAAAACTTGTTGTGACATATAAATTCTCTCCCGTGACTTCATTATTTTCCCACTTGACCATGCACCTTGAAAACTAAGATGATCCACAAACTCTTGGAGTCTTCGTCTTTCTCTAATATGAGCCTCTATGTATGTCACTTCATCCCCAATAACAAAATCAATATGGTCAATAATCTCACCATAATCTTGCATATGAATTGACTTACATTGAAGAGGGTTTTGACCATGCTCATGAGCAGAATTGGGTGGTGTGGGAGTATTTGAGGCGTTGATTATGTCTTGGGACGAAATTTGATGTTGTTGTAGGGCTTCTCCCGTGAAAAAATCAACTTGAGTAGGTGATGACTCATTAATTGCTGGCTTCACATCTTCACTACGTGCTAGCATCAATGTCTTGCAATCTTCTCCTCCTTGCTTCTGTTCCATGACAATAGCTCCTTTCTCCCGGTTTCTTTGGAGTTGTCGTTGATCCTCATATACTTCCTTGGGATTCAAGGGCTTTAACACGATTTTCTTTCCATTATGTAACACTTGATACTTGTTGGAGACTCCATCGTGTTGCGTGCTTTTATCGAACTGCCATGGCCTTCCAAGTAGGACGTGTGTAGCTTGCATAGGTACTACGTCACACAGAACTTCGTCCTTATATCCTCCAATGGCAAATTTAAGAAGAGTTTGCCTTGCCACTTTAATTGAACCATCCTCGTTGAGCCATTGAAGCTTGTAGGGTTTGGGATGCTTGATTGTGCTCAATCCCAGTTTGCTAAGCGCTATAGTACTAATAGCGTTAGTGCAACTTCCGCCATCAATCACCACGACGAGCAGCTTCCCATCCACTACACATCTCGTGTGAAACAGGTTCTCCCTTTGCTCGAGGTCTTATTTGGGTTGCACGCTTAGCATTCTTCTCGTGACAAGCAAACTTCCAGGAGGGGGCTCCATTTTTATTGATTCGTCAACTTCAGATTCTGATGGCTCCCTCGCGTGCTCCTCTTCTTCGGAATCCGAGACATATTCTCCATTCTCTAGTAGGACTAGAGCTCTTTGATTAGGGCATTGGTTGGCCATATGCCCTCTTCCATGACATTTGAAGCATTGAATGCCTCCACTAGAGCCTGTGGCTTGTCTTTTGGTGCTTCAACCTTGGTTGCCTGTGTTGATGCTTCTAGCTTCGTTATGGCTGGCCTAGGGTTTGAAGTTGAAGGCGTTCCTGGCCTTGGTGCTGCTTGTGGTGGCGTGAATCTCCTTCCAACGTTACTACGTTGTTGTTTCTCCACTTTGGCTGCTATTGCAACCAAATCGTATAGATCCGCATAGGGGTGAAGTTCCACCACATTTCTAATTTCTCGATTAAGCCCATATAAGAATCGTGCAATGGTAGCATCACGATCTTCCTCCAAATCCGCTCGAATCATTAACATCTCCATCTCGCGGTAATAATCCTCTACACACTTGGTACCTTGGCGCAGAAGTTGTAGGGCTTGATGCATCTCTCTATGATGAGAACTAGGCACAAATCGATCCCGCATTACCGTTCTCATCTCTGCCCATGTCTCAATAGGTGGCTGCCTATTCTTCCTCCTCCTCATGCTTACTTGATCCCACCACACAATGGCATAATCCGTAAACTCGAGTGCGGCCACTTGTACTTTCTTCCTCTCAGAATAGTTGTTATAATCGAAGATCAATTCCATCTTTCGTTCCCAATCTAGGTAAGCCTCGGGATTAGTAGAACCTATAAACGATGGTATGTTGACCATAATATTCCTCAAATCGTCATCTTCATCTCGAGGGTAACCCTCGTCATCCTCATATTCGACCTCTTCATCACGAGGCTGGCCTCGTCTTGCATGTAGTCCACCCATTGGCCGATGTCACCTAGCATGTTCGAACATGGGTCGTTGTACCACCCTTCTCTCTCCACGATTTTCTTCTTCCCTCCTAGCCCTTTCAGCAGCAACATTAGGGTTAGGGTTTGGTGGTGCTTGCATTCGTGTTTCCCAAGCTTCCATTCTTGCATTTTGAGCTTGTAGCGCCGCTTGAATCTCCCTTTGGCTGGTGGTATGTGCTTAAAGTAACGCTTGGATTTGATCAGTCAATGCCTTGATCTCGTCTCCCATATTTGCGGCACTAATTACTCCTTCAAGATAGCTCGCAAGAACCTTCAAGAACGTAAAGACTCCTCCAAGATCCTTTACGATGATGTCAAAACCTTCAAGAACACGACAAGATTGCCAAAGAACCTTCTTCTCCGCTGCGTTTGAACCGGGCTCTTGATACCACTTGATGTGACCAAAGTATGCAGCTTTCCTACTTTTTATGGTTTTTCGAAGCTTTTCTCCAACGAACAAGAACTCGAACAAAAGATAATGATGGAACACGATCAAACAGATTCCAACTCGTGTGAAAGGCCAATTGGTATATGAAACCAATCAAACAATCACCCACTCGTGAATAAGGCCAATCACTATTGGGTAGAAGCTCGCCATAACTAGACGCATTCTCTAGTTGATAAGAGACACGTGAAACTCCTGGAGCACTCTCAACAGAAGCTTGCACAAAGAACTAGTTCGTATGAACTTGTAACTTGAAAGTTGATTGATAATTGAATGAGTTACAATGGGGAACTCAGCCTCTTATTTATAGACTAGCTAACACAAATCCAAAGCTTAAAATGAAAAACAAGTCCTACAAGTAAAAGGAAAAAACACAATCCTTAAAAGACAAGTAAAAGGAAATCACAATCCTTAAAAGACAAGTAAAAGACTTGGTCAACAACTCCCTAGATTCTAGCCTTGCAATCCTCCCTCACATGGCTTGTGTTCACACCTGATATTCCTTTCACACTTGTACTCCTTTTCACACCTTGTGTTCACACCATGGGAGATCTTCCTTCCTTCTACCAAGCCCATCTTCTCTTCATTCTAGTCCATAAATCGTAGCAACGTGATGGACTTTCCTTCTAGCGAGTCCACGTCCATCAAGAATGATCTCATTTGATCCTTGTATCGTCGTACTCGGACCTTCATCTTTGGACCACGAGAATTATATATTCTGCCAATTGATTTCACATCAACAAACTCGTAGGCCTTGCTTGCAAAGACCTTTTCTTCCACCTTGAATGTTTTCAAGCTCTCTTTAAACCTCTTAAATCGTCTCTTGAACCATGGTCCATGTAGGTATCTAGTTTGAGCTTGAGTGACGTCATGTGGGGTGAGCGGGGTCGCATCATTAACGTTGTGCTGATGTGGACGCCAGCTCGGATTACACATCAGCTCCAACTAGACAAACCACACCACCTAGATCCCACCTCATATTTTAATAAAAAAATGTATATAATTTTTTCCCCATCCCCACACCGCCTGTTAACCTTCCTCCAACCCCCAGCTCTCTTCGTCAAAACTCGAAAGTTGAAATCCAAATTCAGATTAATGAAGAACCAATCAGATGCGCGTCGGAGGGGAAAATCCCTAATCAACCAGCGGTTGGCCTGCTATTATATCGAAAGATGCGGCCATATCTCTAGAGAAGTTTCCCTTGGTGTCTCGTCCTCGATTCAAGTTTCCAGGTCCTCGTCGGAGGGAGATATCCCGGCTCTTCTTGTCTTCCCTGTCCAATTGCGCCACCACCCTTAAAATTCCCAACTCCGATTGACATGATTTTGTCGGCGATCTCAACTTTCTCTTCGAATCTACCCAGTCCGTCGACCAAGAGAGAGGCAGGCGCAACGATTGGGTTTCCTTCGCTAGAGTAGGCGTCATGACCCTGGTCGGATATCAATGTCGGAGAAGCGGCGGGCCTTATCGATGCTTTGACATATGTGTAGATCTGGAAAGTGGAGCGAGAGGCGGAAGCGGCGCGATGGAGGCGATGTCGAGAGAAACTGATGTCGGCAAGAGCAGAGGGTGAGAGAACCAGATATAGGGGAAGCAAATCCATTTCTCCAAAAATATATCGCCTAATTTTTTAGTTTGGGTGTAAATTGGACTCATATCATCGAATGTCTAAAAATGAATACTCGATTCTAATGCAGTTTTTGTCTTATGTTTTGTTATGTGACAAATATAAAAGTGGAAACACCAACATTATCTTTTGTGTGTACAATTATGAGGATCCAAATACATCAATTTGGATATAGGCTAAATGAGTTGATCCAATTGAACCCAATTTAAACTTAACCTAAATCCAGAATCATTATAATTGCATTCGAGTTAAACTGAATCTGACACAATAATTACATGGATTATCACAATTAGATCAAACTATCCAACAATTACGCCATTCCTATTGGTACGGTAAGCATGGGCATCACTGATGTGGAGGTGGGGATTGCCATTTGTCATTGCATTGTCTGATTATTAATTTATGGGTTAGTTGTCAAACCAAATGGGACAACTTTAGTTTTGTTGCTGTTGCTGGCTTGCTGCTAGTGATGTTAATTGTTATGTTTCTAGTCCGTTGAGCTATCCCTTCATTTTTCTTCTTCTTATTATTATTACATTTTGTTTCCTTCCTTTGTGTGTTTTGCATCTGGATATCTTTTTGACTTTTGACTTTGAATAAAAATTAAACAAATAAGAAACAAGAATTAATAATTGGCCGTATGCGTCGACACACCATAAAGATTCCATCCATCACATGAAAATGCAAACTTAAAGAAGAGAGGTTTGTGATTGACCACTAACAATTAGGAGAGTTTAATTTTAATCAGACTGTTAAGGGGTGGTTTCGACGCAAAGGTCAGATTAGCGAATTCTTCTCCATATTATATCTATTGAGCCTCACAATAAATTCATTTTAATAATCCATTTTCTACTAATCTTACACAACCCAAATGACCCTTTTGTTGCTTTTCTTGAAATTTGTATAAACAAACGCTCCATAGCATCCTTGTACTTCAAGGAAGAGGGGTAAAGAATAAAAGATTGATATTGAGTATAATAGATAAGGTTGCAATGAAAAAAAAAAAATTTTGGTTAATTTCTTGTGTATAAAGCAAGGTTTGTGAAACTATATCAGAGGTAGTATCGGAAAAATCAACAGCAGCTAGTAGGGTGTTTCATTGCGAAATCGTGATTTAACCGTAGTTCAACTGTTAATATCGCTAAATACCATTTACCGGTTTAGTTTTCGATACTGATTTTTTTGCGATTGAACCGCCGATATGATACAGTTCCACAAACCATGGTATAGCGTTACCAGTATGGTTGCCCATGTCTACTTTACTGATTGATTCCTTACAATCCTCATCCTGATATATATCCGAACAATTTTATCCAGTGTTTGCTACATTTAGTGCAACCTCTCATGGAAGCATCTTTGAAGCACAACCAATGGATGGTTACTTTTTCTTTTTCCTAGAAAATATAGATGGTCTAAATCTTTTCTTAAGCTATGACTCGAGAGATTAGGATGGCAATCATACTATATATACTAGGAATTGATATGAGAAATTTTTTAGCTTACGATTTCATAGTTCAAGACTTTTATTATTGTTGTTTAGACGGATTAGCACAAATGAGAAATTTGATCGGATGTGCTGAAGATCTCCTAGATAGTGAATTACAAAGCTGGCACTCTCATGATTAAGACTTAAAGAGTTCTGAGTATAATTCCATGAGCGTCATACAATCATATACGACGAATCAGCTTCAAACTAAATGACACAAGTAAAGTTTTTTCTCTCCTTCTTTTGCTACAATCGTCGAGAACAATGCAAAGTTGTAGCTGTAAATTAATTTTTCATCATACCTATTGTGTCGAGAACTAGTAATTGTTCCAATAACAACTCGAGTTGTTATAAAAAATTCAAATATCGACTTAATAGAATTTCTTCTTCCGCTGGTTGCTTACGAAGTTGGGACAAATACAAGGTACTAGTTTAAGATTATTAAGGTCACTCAAAGTTTTGGATTCGAGTCCCATATTTGAAGAAGGAATATAGAACATATATAAAGGGGAAAGAGGCAGATTGAAGCATACCTTAGGTAAACTTTCAATTGTAAAGAGAGAATGGACAGAAAAGAGAGATCTCGAAAGGCTTTGATTCCTTCCATTTCATGGGCACCGAAGGCAATACCAACTCCACTTTTGATTTGGCTCTAACCTAAACCCCTCTCATTAAAAACAAAAAAAATAAGACTTATTATTACATAAGCAATAGCAACCATCGTCATCATTTATCATCTTTTCTTTTTAAAGAAGGTCAAACTATCCTATGGTAAGTGATTGGGCAGGCAGCTATGCCAAAATCTGATTATCACAAGTAATTCGGTAGTGACAAAATATCTTGTCTATATAGGAGGTAGATAATTAAGCATTCATAATGTCTAAGTGAGGTTTAGGAAAAATAAAAATAAGCACTATCAATTGGTGTGAGGCGAGATTAATCAAAGTGAGTCACGCTTAATTGTACTAGTAGACCAATGATTAAAATAATTGTAGCTTATCTTCCCAAAAAGATGTCATCTCTACTTGTCCTATACTCAACGCTTCTTTTACTCATTCCTCGATTTGAAATTACAATTCCAACTGATGACTTATTTTTATTATTGTTGAGAATTAGCTCAGTTATTAACATTTGAAATTGAAAAAGCGTGATGTAAACCTATTTTTTCTACTAAAAATCGTTACTTTTGCTAAAAACGCCGCCTAGCGTCGCCAAGGCAGATCTCAGGTGTGTTATGCGCTAGGCAATGGCCCAATGTCTGTCTAGCGCCCAACGCAGGGGCGGAGCCAGGATTTGGCGGTGGGGGCGGGGGATTTCTTACTCTATAATCACGAGAAGACGTTAAAATTAATTAAAATAATCAGGGAAAATAGATTTGTTATATTATTATAACTACACTTTTTTAAGATGGTTAAAATAACTCCAAATAAGATCTAAAGTTCAAGTTTCTAACATGATAGGTTCATTATATATTAAAATAAAATATCAATTAAAATGTAATTCAATGTAGTGTAAGTGTGTAAAACATTTCATTTTCATTCAAAATAAGATCTACACTAATACCATGACATGTTTAATATAAAAAATTAGAAACAAACTAACAAATTAATAATGCATTTCAAGTCAATATTATGTAACTCATTCTAATTTCATAATTTAAAAATAAATACCTAATAACTCGATTTAATATCACAAATTACAGATATTTTTAAAAGCAAACTATTTAATAGGGTATTTAACTAAAAGACTAAAATTTGCGAAGAGTAGGTTTCGAACCCAAGACTTAGAAAGAATAAGCAAACACTACATCTGCTGGACTGCCAAGTATTATTTTGTTAGTTTGGTGCACTGTAACATATTTAATTGTTCTTAAGTTTATACGAAAATCTCTAAATGCTTGGAATGTTTACATGTAGCTTTCGAAATTCTGGGGGGGGGGGGGGGTACCTAGCTCCGCCCCTGGCCCAACGGCTTATTGAACCTTGCTTAAATGTATAAACGTTCACAATATAGTAAGTGGATTAATGACTCTTAGAAATGTTTACACCAATGCAGACTTAGTAAGATTTTGAACTCTTTTACAAATGTCTTGGACCAAAGGTAACCGCTATAGAAGAGTCAAAAGATCTTGTTAAGCTTGAATTAAGCTAGTTAATAGACTCTCTAACTACTCACGAGAGTGTGTTAAGAATTGAGGAAAATGATCAACCTCGCAAGAGGAAGGATCTAGCACTCAAATCTCATATATTAGAAGATGAAGAAGAGCATATTGCATTACTTTCTAAAAGAAATCAGAAGTCTTGTGCAGATAATTCTTTAAATGACATGAGAAGGGACAGTAAACCTAGCAGTAGAAGTGAAATGAACAAAAATGTTGTAAATGTCGAAAATGGTACTGTCACTTGTTTCGGGTGTGAAAAAATAAGACACTTGAGATCTGTCTATCCAAACAAAAGGTGAGATCAGGAAAGGGCTATGGCTACTACTTGGAGCTGCAATAATAAAGACTCGGATGAGTCAGATTCAGCAAAATGAGCATAAAGAGCATTGACTAGTGATGGCAATTTCAACCCGCCTCGTGGGTATTACCCGATCTGACCCGCGATGGGGCGGGTATTACCCATCCCGCAGTAGCGTGGGGCGGAGTATGGGTATCTACTTCCGACCCGTCATGTCCCATTCTAGACTCATTTTATCTCAATTTCTTACAATTACTATACATAGTTCTCCTATTTTGACTTTTCTTCAACTAGTTAGAGTCGCTCTTTCAACTTGTTAGACTCAATTACCCATTCTATTATCACTATTTTTCATTCTGAAAGTGTTTTTCCCTTCGTTTTATCATAAAAAGTAAAATTTATTTGTAATTTTTTCGAATAACATGTAAGAGTGGGTGACCCCGCCCCGCACCGTACCCGCGCGAGTTTTACCCGCCCCGCCCCGTAGTAGCGTGGGGCGGGGCATGGGAATTGAGGTACACGCCCCGCCCCATTGCCATCACTAGTATTGACTCTCATTTAGGGGTGGACATTCAGTTGGTTCGGTTCAAACCAAATCGAAATTATGCATACCGAGTCCTCGAATTCTATCAAACCAAATTCGAATCAAATTATAATTCGGTTCGGCCGGTGCAAACAAAATTATAATTCGGTTCGGTTTTTCATACAAAACCGAAATAGTGAGGTTAGCTTGTACCTTCTCTTTTTTAAATTATTTTTCACCCTAATGTAAACAATAAATATGCATAATCAATGATAAAATCAAACATTTCAACACATAAGTAATAAAACACTAACATGATTCAAATATTTAAGTCTCATAATAAGTGGAATCATAAAAATCCACCATTTAGAGCTTGAAATTATAATAATTCGATTTTTCGGTTCGGAATTCGGAAATTCGGTTCGGTTGAAAGGACCCTGGTTTCCGAAATATGCTCTTTTCTCTTCCGAATCTCGAACCGAATAACATTAATTCATTTTCGCTTCGGTTTATATTCGGTTCGGTTTGGTTTTACCGAACCGTATGCCCACCCCTACTCTCATTGATCAATATCATCTAGGAATGATGGCCAAGAAAACACCAAACATACAGGTAGTTCTTAAACCCTTACATTCATGCTTATTGCTTAGACGATGACTAAGATGATTCACTGCGTCATTCAACAAAAGGATCGAGAAGAGGAACAAATCACAGTCATGATATCAATTACAAATTTAGCCTATGTAAATTGAAATTTAATGATCTAAAGGGAGTCATAGACGGAATACAACTACGTTAGACTTATAGCTCGAACAAGAAGTCAAGACCTACATCAAAGTACAAAAACATCTATCATAAGTACTAACATGTTTTAGGTGTAAAAAATATGGGTATTACAAAAACGTGATTGATAGCGTCATATTTGTACATGTTTGCACACTTGGTTCGAAACCATTTTAACTTGGATTTGTGGTTCCTCGGTCTATTTTACGCTAGGTTTTGCTATTTTGTCACATTTTCAGGTCCTATCATGTAAAGGAGGGCTTGGGTGCAAGTTTCGAGGTCGTTTGGAGGACATTTGGGAGTTATGGAGACAAATTATCGTCGTACCCTGCACCAAATATGACCATAATTCACAAATTACTATCAGTATTTTTTATGCCGAGCATGATGAAGGCTCAACTAAGAATCACGGTCAAGTTTCCCAAAAATACAATTGTATTTCTTCAGCGTCAAACTCGTATTTTTATGGCCGAGGCTAGCCTTTGAAGAATGCTGAAAGAAAGCAAATTACGGGCAGAAATACCGCCAGTGCTTTCAAAATACCGCCGGTAATTTTCAAAATACGTCCAGTATTTTCCCAGGCGCGACCGTGGATTTCTCCATCTCAACTTGAGCAAAACGCGCGTTTTGGGCAAAATACAGGCAGAGGTGAAATACGACCGTATTCTTGCCCGTAAGTATCGGGGTAAATAGGCAGTTTCGAGCCAAAGGAAGGAGATCCGACTTTTTGGAGCAAAAATAGAGTTCTAGAATCCTAGGAGCTATTTGGAGTGGATTTCTCACCATTGAAGCCTAGATTGCGTCTCCAGGAGTGAAGATTGACATCCCAGAGCAGATTTTTCGCATCTTTATGAGTAAGACTACTTTGATTTCTGTTTTCCTCTCTCTCTATGGAGTAGAACTTTCTTTCACTTGGGTATGAAGAACCTTAGTTCCATGTGTTTAAGAAAGAGGATGAGAAAATTGGGGTTGCAGGAAAATTGGGAGGAAGTGAAAATTTGAGAATAAAATAATGAGAAAAAATAGTCTTCTCTTAAAGGGAAAAAGATATTCAACAAGAGACAAATGATTGTCATCCTAAATATCGGGCAATTGCTATAACTTTTTTCACCAAATAATCACTTATATATTGTTATTTGTATATTAATGAGTGATGTTTACAATTACTTAGCATTTCATAAAACACTTTCAAGGATATAAACTGAGAGCACTTTATTGTTGGAGAGACACATCGATTTTTCCAACTCTTATATTCTCCTAAATTATAGAATTTCTTCTTGAGTGCTTTTTTTTTCCGTTTACGTTGCGAGTTTCCTATTTACTCTACAACTTTGTACTTTGAAGATTATTCCTTGATCACAGTGGATTTACTGACTTGTCCAGCCCGTGATTTTTCTCCCTACGCTTTGGAGGGATTTCCACTTAACTATGATGTCTTGTTTTTTTTTTTTTTTCATTCTCTTCTCTATTTTTCTTGTTCGATTTCACATTGCGTTTGCTTCCGCTAGTGCTCTTTTATTCGAGGTTCAAAAGTCTCAAAGTGACAACAATATTTCATAAACCTCTCGTAATATACAAATTTGTTACTCTTTGTGAGAAATAATACAACGATAAATGAGTTATTTTGTTTATTCTTGTTTATATTCTATTTTTATTGCGCCTGACACACAAATTCAAAATATCTTCTTCCGCCACTGTTAGGTTTAGTTAATCCCTATGTTTGGCCCGACTTTTAGAAGTGCTTTTCGGGTTCAAAAGCTGAAGCAGGGCCAAACACTTGTAAAAGCTCGGCTTTTGAAAAGCCGAAAAGCGCTTTTGTATAACATAAAAGCAGAAGCTCCGATTTGGAGTTTCAGCGAAAACTGTTTTGAAAATACAAGATTATCCTTACCATATTTTAATTTTATTTCAAAAAATATAATTTTCCTTCATTTATATCGTTTTAAAAATAAAATAAATTATAAAATTATATTATTTAATATAAAAGAAATCTAACAAGATCCATTTTGACTACTTTTTATTGTTTAGAATTTTTATTTATATTTTATATTATAAGTCCTTTATAGTCATTTTACACAACCTCTTATATTAAAAAGCACTTCTAATAGTTTTACACCCAAACACTCAACTGCTTTTTTTTAAAAGTACTTATATAAAAGCTCAAGCCAGAAGTTGTTTTTGCAAAAGCTACAGCAGGGCCAAACTAAGCTTAATGATCGATAGTTACAAATTCTTTTAACGTAAACAATTATGGTTAAAAATATCCATATTCCTACTATAAAACTATACGGGAATCTTCGTGAAAATAAAAACCGTACAAGATCCGAAGCGAAATCAAGGAGCAAGGAAGGAATCGGTTTCATATTCCTGCCCGCCTGCCTGCCCGCGACAATTAAGGGGAAACAAAAATGATATAAACAGAAACAATGCTGTATTAACATAATAAACAAATTATTAAAATTATATATTACCTCAGCTCAGGCCTCACTGGTGTCGCCAATCCTCCGTCTAGGATCCCGCCACGTGCACCTAAGGAGCTGTACTTACTTGTCCGCCACCACCATCCCCACCGTCCATCCCGACTGTTACTAATTAGTTAACAATAATCATCATCACATAATAATTAGTACGTCATTTGTTTAACATTTTATTTTAATAATAATTTAATCAAATCGGCTATCTTTCTTTCCCGTTTCGAGCCCAAAAAGCCCAAACCCACCGTCGTTTCCTCTTTATCGCCATCTGCCGATCCCTATCTATCTATTCCTCCTTCCTTCCCCATCCTCTCTCTCTCCTCTTCCAAAGCTTCTCTTCTTCCTCTTCTTCTTCTCCAATTCTCTCTTCTCTAATAAACCTCCATTCGCCAAACCCCAATAAATATTTTATTTAATTAAAAAAAGCAACCCAGGCAGCAAAAGAAGCCAAAACGAGAGAAAGAAAGAGAGAGAAAGGGAAAGAGTAAAGGAGAAAGAAGAAGAAGAAGAGCGAGTTTGCTCCTTCTCGGAATTGCGATTCCGTTCCTCTTACCCCGATTTCAATTTCGAATTTCTCTATCATCCCTTCTTCGGTTTCTGTAATGGAGCTCTTTCTCTTCCCTTCTCCTTTTGCTCTGTGAGAGAATAAATAGTGTGCCTGGAGTTCGGGAGGAATTGGGGGGGGACGACGACAATTGGATTCCTCCTTCCTCCTTCCTCTTGTTTGGTTTTGTGTTGTTTGTTGACAAGAGTTTTGTAGTTGAGAGGAGCATGGGGCTCTGCACCTCCAAACCCTCCACGGACCGGAGCATCCACGTCTCCTATCCCCCATCCGAGCCGCCGACCAACGCCGCGGTCGCCGTCGGCGACGGCGGCGTGGAGAGGCCGGATGCGTCGAGTGCCGACGAGAGCTTGACCTCCGATGATCAGAGGAGGAAGGAGAGGACGGAGCTGGAGAATGTCAAGAAGTCGCCGTTCTTCCCCTTCTACAGTCCCAGTCCAGCGCACTACTTCTTCTCGAAGAAGTCTCCGGCGAGATCTCCTGCTCCGAATGCTCCTACTGGGGGCAACTCCACGCCCAAGAGGTTCTTCAAGCGACCCTTCCCCCCGCCGTCTCCGGCGAAGCACATACGAGCTGTTCTGGCGAGGAGGCATGGTTCGGTTAAGCCCAACGAGGCGTCGATCCCCGAAGGGAGTGAGGCGGATGGGATGGCTGCCCTGGATAAGAGCTTCGGATTCTCTAAGCATTTTGGGAACAAGTACGAGCTGGGAGATGAGGTTGGGAGAGGCCATTTCGGATACACTTGCGCAGCTAAATTCAAAAAGGGCGAGCTCAAAGGACAGCAGGTTGCCGTCAAGGTCATCCCGAAAGTGAAGGTAATAATAATAATGCCTCTCTTTGCCCGATCTTCGTTTTCCCCGTAGCGAATTTCACCCTTCGAATCCTTGTTTTTGGCTTTTGCTGTAGTCAACGACGAGTTGTTTTTGGCGTTTTGGACTCTAGATCTGCAGGTCTTATTGGGGTTTCTTGCACTTAATTTGTCCATTCACTTAGAAGAGTAATCTAAGTCTTGGTTCTCACTGGCTTTCTGGGGAAATTGCCAAAAGAGATGGGAATTGCTCGGTGAATTTTTTGGGTTCAGAATTGTACTAGGCAGACTGGGTTTTTGGTATGTTAGTATCCTACAGCACAGCCACAAGGAAGCAGAAACCGCCGTTTCTGGGTTTCCCCATTTTCAAGGTTCGAGTTCCTGAAAGAGATGGAGTGAAAAAGGCGGCTGATTACCCATCTCTGGTTGTGAGGCTCCCATGTTGCATGGAGACCGACTCATCTTTTGCCAGCAATTTTTTAGTGATTGGGGATGTTAATTCCCTTCTGCAACTTCTGAGAGAGCAGATCAGCTTGGGAATCTACTGTTCATCTCTATTGCTGCACTTTATTCTCTTGTCACTCATGAAAGATTTGTCCTTCCAATGTGCCCATGTACTCATATGTTCCACCATGCTATGACAGCAATCTTTGGATGTGCCGTTTTCCTTGCTTGACTGGAATTGTACTGCTACAGTTCCCGGATGCTTCATTTGCTGACTATTTTTATTTATTTACCTTGTGTTTGTTAGATGACCACAGCAATTGCAATTGAGGATGTGCGAAGGGAGGTCAAAATATTACGAGCACTGACTGGACATAATAACCTGGTGCAATTCTATGACGCATACGAGGACAGTGATAATGTCTACATTGTAATGGAGTAAGTCCTTCTTGTAGCTTTGACTTTGTTTTCGTGTTTGTTGCAGATCATTCTTTTTAGTTCTTTATTGCTTATTTATGGGCTTGTACTGACTGCGTATTGTGATTTCTTGTCCATCTTCTTCCAGGTTGTGTGAAGGAGGAGAGCTTTTGGACAGAATTCTTTCCAGGTATTCTCCTCATACATTAACTATATTTATTTCATTTTCCCCAATAAGTCTCGTCTTTAGCCATTTTTTCTGGTTTTGTTTTCATTATTTTTAAATTGAAGAAGAGAGATTCTGTTGTCAATTTCTAAACATGGATGCTCTTTTGCTTCAGGGGAGGGAAATATTCAGAGGAGGACGCAAAGACAGTAATGATACAAATATTAAACGTTGTTGCATTTTGCCATCTACAGGGTGTGGTACACCGGGATCTTAAACCTGAGGTGAAAGTTCTCTCTTTCTCGTGTAACTAGTACAATCTTATGGCCAATTGAATTCTCAAAGTGCTTATTATGTTGCAAGATATATCCTGCGTTGTGTCGGTTTTGTTAACACTCTGATATAGTAAGGAAGATTCCTAAGGGCAGAGTGCACCAGATATTGAATATCTGAAACTTGTTCTAGTCCGTATTTGCTTTCCTTTTCTTAAGGGGTCACGGGGAATGAGCTTTCTCCTCGCCTAAAAGAGAGACTATATATACTTATATTATGCATCTTACATTGCTCCTGAAGATGTGGCTTTTACCTACTTCATTTCAGGATTTAGGGCACTTAGTAGAATCTCTCTCTAGGATGTTGCAACCTGATTTGTTCTATATAGTATTTTTCACATTCATAGATCCCAAACTTCCTGACTGATGTTAATGAGTTTCTTGTTGTTGCAATTTGGCTAATTTTTTGCTTCGATTCCCTTCTCTATTCATTTATTTGTGCTAAGTGTGGTTAATTGATGGATCAGAATTTCCTCTTCACTACCAAGGATGAGAACTCGCAACTGAAGGCCATAGACTTTGGTTTGTCCGACTTCGTTAAGCCAGGTCTGTCACTCAAAACACAAACTTGAACTATATCCTGGTTGTTTCTTTCTGTACCCGTGGTTTAATCTGCCTCCTGATCTCAATGTGGTGCAGATGAGAGATTGAATGACATTGTTGGCAGCGCTTATTATGTAGCTCCTGAAGTTCTACATAGAGCATATGGTACGGAGGCTGATGTATGGAGTATAGGTGTGATTGCTTATATTCTATTATGTGGCAGCCGCCCATTTTGGGCACGGACCGAATCTGGAATCTTTAGAGCTGTCCTAAAAGCCGATCCAAGCTTTGATGAAGCGCCTTGGCCATCCATGTCTCCTGAAGCCCGGGACTTTGTTAAACGACTACTGAATAAAGATCCTCGAAAAAGAATTACTGCTGCCCAAGCCTTGAGTAAGCGTAGTGACAACTGCCATCTGTAGTTTTTCACAATATTTTCCATCTGTTCTTATTGGTGTAACAACTATCTTCTTGTGCAGGTCATCCATGGATTAAAAGCTCTAATGATGTTATTAAAGTTCCCCTTGATATAATAGTATTCAAGCTGATGAAGTCTTACATGCGTTCGTCATCTCTTCGTAAAGCCGCTTTGAAGGTGCATTAACTTGATAAAAGCATGAATATCCATCCTTTTATTGGTGCATCAATTGCTAAATACTTCTCTTTTGGTGCTGATTTTGGCAGGCGTTATCTAAAACGTTGACTGTGGATGAACTATTCTTTTTGAAAGAGCAGTTTGCTTTGTTGGAACCAAACAAGAATGGGACAATAAGTTTAGACAATATCAAATCGGTTAGTTGCCTTTTTCCCAGATTGTTTGGAGAAAATCCTGTCCTCCACACCTTGATATTCATAAGTGTTTTTCCCCTCTTGGGTAGGCATTGATGAAGCATGCGACAGATGCTATGAAGGAATCTCGGATCCCTGATTTCCTAGCGTCGGTAGGTGGCTTGGTTGCTTGCTGTAGTATTGTTTTATTTAAATATTTAACAAAAGCCTGTTTTGGGGTGTCGTTTCAAGAAACTCATCCTTTTGATTTACTGTTAATATGTGTGGGATTCAGCTGAATGCACTCCAGTACAGAAGGATGGACTTTGAAGAGTTCTGTGCAGCTGCATTAAGTGTCCATCAGCTAGAGGCTCTTGACAGGTGGGAGCAACATGCTCGTTGTGCCTACGAGCTTTTTGATAAGGATGGGAACAGGGCCATTATGATTGAAGAACTGGCATCGGTATGTTGTTTGAATAAGTTGGATTAGAGAAATTGGTTTGTTTTAGCTTTAATTAATGCCGACTTTCCTTTCGAGTAACTGTTATTTATGCCGAAACAAGCATACCCTATGCTAAACCGAGAAAACTGATTCTGCCTGTGCAGGAGCTTGGCCTCAGCCCGTCTGTCCCTGTCCACGCAGTTCTGCATGATTGGATTAGGCACACCGACGGGAAGTTGAGCTTTCTGGGTTTTGTGAAGTTGTTGCATGGTGTGTCTAGCCGGACGTTTGTGAAAGCTCAATAGCAGCAGCAGCAGCAGCAGTTACTGGAAATGAAAAATCCAACTCTCGAGTTCCTCCACAGGCACGGCGTCTTATTTTTCCATGAAACTCAGAACCTGGCTCTGGAGACATTGCCTGGCACACCGACTGGTAAATTTTCGCTCTGCGATTCAGGAATCTGTTGCATGTGTTCGGGTAGTCGATCTCTTTGCCAAAGAAATTTGGGAGGCGGTGTTTTGGAAGTTGCCAGTCAATGTAAAGTTGTAGTTAAGAAAGTAAAAGCATAGGGGAAGTTTGTGTGTTAAGATCTTGCTGAAAGGAAAGGAAAGGAAACCCTTATTCACACCCTCACCACCAAGCCCAATGTGTCCACCCATCATCATGATTTGTGAAGAGAAGTTTTAATATTCATCATTGCTTTGCTCTGCCGTTTTAGCACTGTTCTAGTCAACAAAGTGTATTTGTCTCAGATCCCTCAGGTCTCTCTCTGGTGTTCTACCTTTCCTTCTTGCTTTCTTATTCTGACTGGATCTCGATGGGCAAAGCAAAAGCCATCAATGTCCACCATATTGGAATGGGAAATCCTTCCAAAAGCTGGAAAAGGCTGCTTCGAGATTGCCCACTGAAAGACTTGCGCTTAAAGAATAAGGCAAAAAAGGAAGGGTGGTGGGTTCAATGTTCTTCTTCCTCCACTCTGCTAATTTAAAGGGATCATTTCAGATCAGGGGTGTGCAATGGTTTGCCGGACCACATTGGACCAAACCGAAGTTTGGACCGGATCGCACCGGACCGAGTATAATGCGATCCGGTGTTTGGTCCACTTGAATTTTACAATTACTGAATAAATGATGGACCCAACTGATATTTGGACTAGACCAAACCGGACCAAATGTACTGAATGCAATGATGATCCGGTCCTTGGTCCTACGATGTTTTTCACTAGTGGACCGCGGTTTTCATAAGTTAGGTCCAGAGCAAACCGAACCGTTTGCACACCCCTATTTCAGAATGCTTTCATAGGAACCAATTTTTTGGATTCTGGTTTAATTGGATTTGATTGTGATATTTCAGCAAACAGGTCGGTATGGTACAGGAAATTAATAATAAAGGAGTTTTTTTTTTAATTGTTTCGACAATCGACAAGGTTTCTTTTATTAAAATGTGATGAGAGTGATGGTCCAGAAAATTAGGTGAACAATGAGGTGGAAAGATAAAACTTGTGGAGCGAGTCGTTGGGAGTAAATTACTAAATTTACAACTTGCTTTTCCCTAATCAGTCAATATAGCCACGCCAACTTGTATTTCCCTATTTTGGATAGTTAACTTTTGTCATTAATCAAAGTTCAAGTATTGGTTGTCAATAGTAAGGAACCATGCAAGATCCATCTTGAAATGTATTTTACTAAGTCAAGTTATTACAAATAATATCAGAACTTCACTGATTATTAAGGGTATATTATGTGTCAAGTCCAACTCCAAGTAAGTGCCAAAAGGATCATTTAAGGACATTGCATCTTTCACTGTTAGAGGTAGGCTTGGCATCAGGGCGGATCGGGGACGGGTAACTACATGCCGATCCCCGTCCGTCAAGGCTGACGGATTTTCCCGTCCCCGTCTGTGCAGGTTAAACGGGAGATTACGTCTCCCGTCCCCATCCGCAAACGGATCCGGGTAACCCACGGATCATGAACCATCTACTAGAGATACGGGCGCGATTGGAGATGTGGAAGCCATTTGGGGTTGCAGGATTTTGAGGATGCTGGAGTGATTTTTGGGTTGCAGGACTTGAGTTAGAGTTGACGAAGCCACCTCTGATTCAACTTCAATAACAACCTATTTGCGGTCCGAATACGCCGTCAACATTAGTTTAGTTTAGTAATTGCCATTGGTCATTTTTTTTTACTGCAAACTTAATACGAGGTCAACTCCAGAGTAGGTTTCTCGCATGACGACTACCAACCCACTTGAGGTTTTGATATATTTAGCATGACACGAGCACGAATATGCACAACACGATTCGAACCGTGCTCAGTGTTGGGACTTTTATGGACGTGGGTATATGTACGATAGCTCGAGACCGGGTGACCAGGATTGTGATAGAATCGTGAACAACGTTCACTTTCCGAAAAGAATATTTCCACCCTCAACAAGCCTAGGGTTACAGGAAATTTCTCCCGAGGATAAAACTATCACCACTTTAGGTTCCAGACTCAAAAACACTAAAGCATACTTAGAAATTTTTGGAAGAAAGAAGAAGAATATGTTTGATGGTATGTGGCACCATCCACCCCACACATATATTTATAGGGGCCGAATCCATGCATAGTTTCATGAAAGGTTGCCTTTATTTATACGAAAGGTTGCTTTTATCCATATGAAAGGTTGCCCTATCTATATGAAAGGTTATCCTTATCCATATGAAGGGTTGCCTCTATCCATAATGTTATCCTTATCCATAAAATAATGCAACCGCCACTAGGCCAAAGGGATGTGTCCCTTCACGGAATTAGAATATCGGTTCGGTCAGTCTAATCCCAAACCGGTTGGTCAGTCTAACCCAAAACCGGTTTGACTTGTTTAGTCCGGTTCAACCAAATTTCCAACATTCCTCACCCATTTTAGTGTATAATAGAATTCACTAAAATAACAACATTCTTCCAACAAAACTTAAGCATAAATGAAAATGTCGTGACAATTGAATTTTCATCTTAGTATATTACACTTGACGAATACTCGAATACAAAGGGTGTCGGTAACGATTGAACACATTGACTCATATGAATATTCGAAGGTAATATACACTTAAGTTTTCAAACTTCTAAGTGCCTTGACACTATTAACCGCCATGTGTCCAATCCTTCTCATAAGCGCACACGAAACCAAAGTCCGGGTTTCTTGAAGCGGCTACACTTCATGCTTACGTAGGTCGAATCTTTTATTCGTGTACCCGCATAATACACTTTGTCAAAGATTCAATTAAAAAGTTTTGAACTTCATCCTCCTCTCTCATGCAGATAACAAGCACATACCTCGGGATGACAAATTTTGTGCTTCAATTTCTGACAATAAGCTTTCCACATTGAATTCAGCCTCTAACGTTGTATTAGAGGGGAATTGGGTGTCCCACCAAAAATTATATGGACTTTAATCCATCCCTTTCACAGACTTAATCACCTAGTCACTAGTTAACCACTTCGTCAAATGATCAACCAAATTAATTCGATTTTGGTCATACTGTCTAGACACAACACTATGAATGATCAGTTCACAGCTTTTACCGTGCCATACTCCCACATGACCGTACTTATCATTTTCACTTGACTATTTGCCTTAGTCAAATTAGCATTACTATCACAAAAGATAGTAATAGGTGAGATTGATTTAGGCCATAAATATATGTCATAAACCAAACCTCTCAACAATTATGTCTCTTCTCTAAGAGAAATCAAGGCCACACAAACTTTGATTCCATAGTGAAACTTAGTGATGCAAGTTTGCTTTCTAGAGGCCCAAATTATGGCACCTCTCCCAAGCAAGAGGACCCATCTCAATGTTGAAGTATCACCTGTAACATGAGAAATCCAACTAACATCAACAAATCCTTTCCAAAATTGATGGAAAGCCACTATAAGTCAATACAGTGTGCCTTTGACATATCCTAGTACACGCCTCATTTCATTTCAAATGATGAGAACTAGGATTCATCACGTACCAACTTAATTGTTCTATCGCATATGCGATATCTAGCATCATGTAAGTCATGCATACATCGAGCCCCCAATTTGACATGAAATTTATGCAAGTACCTTCTCATGCAGAAAAATTGAGAGAAAGACTCTTTCTTGTCGTTCCGCTTGATTCAATACACAGAATCACATTTGCCTCCCCCATGTCCTACATGGATAATTGAAATAACAAATTTTTATCAAAGTTCACTTATCTTTTATTGGCTCCAAAGATAAGCATGTCTTATACATACAAATGTACGATGACTTCATTACCAGAATCATCATAAATTGTGTACACATTTTGTCTCCTTGGTTTAAAATAACATAAACCACTAGACAAAATCACTTATCTTTGATTGGTCCCAAAGATAAATATGTTATCTACATACAAACACAACGGCACGGCACGGCACAAAAGCTAACGGGTCGTGCCAAGTACAACACGAAATAAATGGGCTCGAACCGTGCTCATGCCGTGCCGGCACTGTGTTCCTGAACAAAGAATAGTTTGTACTTTGTACCATTTCTACTTTGACGCAGTGGTCAGTGAGAAAAGGGAGGCTGCCTCAATTCTTTTCTCGAATATATGTCATTGGCTAGAGAAAAAAAGAAAGCCAGGAGAGCCTCTGCTTTTTCTTGCCGAGATGCTCTACAGGAACCATTGAAATTGAGGCTACTGGAAAACAAGCCACTGAAAAGGCCCTGGAGATGGCTTCTCTGAGCAGTTCCTAGGCATACCCAAGAACCAGAATCTCGACTATAAACAATAATGGAAACAAGCAGCGAGAATCAACCCTTATGGGCCTTGAGACTTGAGTTAGAGTTGACGAATAGCCACCTCTGATTCAACTTCAATAACAACCTATTTGCGGTCCGAAGACGCCGTCAACATTAGTTCAGTTTTGTAATTGCCATTGGTCAACTCCAGAGTAGGTTTCTCGCATGCCGAGGTCAACTTAATACGAGGTCAACTCCAGAGTAGGTTTCTGGCATGACGACTACCAACCCACTTGAGGTTTTGATATATTTAGCAATCCAACACAAATTCAATGAACTCTGCATCCAATTTAAACCACCACCAGCAGAGTAATACGCACGCACACATCTTGAAACTCTCTCTGTCTCTCTGAGCGTTTACCTACCAAACCCAACGATGAAGCGTGCACGAGAGATCCCATCATGTTCTTCTTTAATCAACTTCATCTTACTCTCCTACTACTTGTCCTTCTCCTTCGGCTTGTCTTCCGGCAACAACGAGACCGATCGATCGGCGTTGCTGGAAATCAAGAAGGCGATAACGAACGACCCGAACGGATTCCTCGACTCCTGGAACGATTCCTTCCATTTCTGCAACTGGCCAGGCGTGCAGTGCAACCCAACGCAGAGGGTAACATCTCTGCTCTTGAAACGCCTCGGTCTCGCGGGTACTCTGTCTCCACACATCGCCAACATCAGCTTCCTCAAATTCATCAACCTCGACTTCAATAGCTTTCACGGCCAAATCCCCATGCAGCTCGGAAACCTGCATCGCCTCCAACACTTGAACGCCTCCGGCAACTTAATCCAAGGCGTCATCCCTGTCAACTTAACTCGTTGCTCTCAGCTCAGGATTCTGAGGTTGGGAGGAAACCAGCTGCAAGGTACCATACCCGACCAGCTCGGGTCGTTACCCGAGCTGCAATTCCTCGAAATGGAAGAGAACAACTTGTCAGGAAACCTCCCGGATTCACTGGGGAATCTCTCGCAGCTCGTTCGATTGGCTGCTTCGTATAACAACTTGGTGGGCCGAATTCCTGACAGCTTTGGACGGCTCAGGAAAATGAGCTCCATTACAATGGGGATCAACAACCTCTCTGGCGAAATCCCTCCTTCTCTTTACAACCTCTCTTCCATTCGCTCCATGACGTTTACTTACAACCAACTGCAAGGCAGCTTGCCAGACAACATTGGCAACACTCTGCCTAACCTGGAAGCATTCGGAGTGTCGGGGAACAATCTGGTTGGGACGATCCCCGAGTCGTTCTGCAATGCTTCTCACCTCGAGGACGTGAACATGAACAGGAATAATTTCTTGGGCAGGATCCCGAATTGCCTAGGCAATTCGGGACGTCTCCTCTGGGTAGACATGGCGGCGAACAATCTCGGTCACAATTCGACGGGCGATTTCGATTTCTTGGCCTCATTGACGAATTGCACTAAGCTTCACCGGGTGGGGATCTCTATCAACAACTTTGGCGGCCCACTTCCTGATATCGTTGGAAACCTGTCGTCAACCGAGTTCCAACATCTGTTACTCGGAGTCAACCATATCACCTCTATTCCTGACACGCTACAGAATCTAATTGGGTTGACCATGATCGATCTACCTTTAAACCTTCTGAAAGGCAACATTCCTTCTTATATTGGCAAGCTCCAGAATCTGGAAGAACTCACCTTGCACGGTAACGACTTGTCAGGTGTAATCCCAAACTCCATGGGAAACCTGACTCGACTCGTCTCACTGGATCTCTCAGCAAACAGAATCGAAGGGCGAATTCCCGCGAGTCTAGGGAAATGTCAGAGTTTGAGCTTCATCGACTTCTCTGCAAACAGACTGACTGGAGAAATACCTGCAGAGGTAATGAACTTATCATCTTCGTTGGTTAATATGTTGAACCTGTCACACAATTTACTTGGTGGCAAGCTGTCACCCGAGCTAGGAAATTTGGAGGATCTGAATGCCATTGATATCTCATTCAATGATCTGATTGGCGAAATTCCCGACTCGATTGGGAACTGCAAGAGCATGGAACATGTTTTTATGCAGGGGAATTCCTTCGATGGGATGATTCCTCCATCATTCGGTTACTTGAAAGGTCTCATGGAGCTAGATCTTTCTCGCAACAACTTAACAGGAGAAATCCCACTGGAGCTTGAGAATCTCAAGTTCTTACAATACCTCAACCTTTCATTCAACAATCTCCAAGGAGAGGCATTCGTGAATTCTAGTGTTACTACTTCATTGGATTTGGAGGGAAATCCTAAGCTGTGCGGTGGTGCTGCCATTGTCGGTCTTAATTTACCGAAATGTGCCACTACGCAACCATCTTCTTCCGGTTATGATAGATCGAGAACTAGAAGGATTGGGAAATCAATAGTGATAATAATTGTTCCTATTTTTGCATCAATTGCTCTTCTCCTTGGGATGTTGACACTCCTCCTTCTTAGAAGAATACGCAAAAAGAAGCAGCAATCTACTACTACTGAAGATATGATTGCCAAACAATTTGTCAGGATTTCTTATGCGGGCCTTCATAAAGCAACTGATGGATTCTCTGCCAACAATTTAATTGGGGTTGGTGGGTTTGGCAAGGTCTACAGAGGAAAGCTTGAGGAAATGGAAAAGTTTGTAGCTATCAAGGTGTTGAACTTGGAGAGGGAACGAGCTTACACGAGTTTAGCAGCAGAATGCGAAGCGTTGAGAAATGTTCGCCATAGAAATCTCGTCAAGGTTTTGTCGTTCTGCTCTAGCATCGACCATCAGGGGAATGAATTCAAGGCTTTAGTATTTGAGTATATGGAGAATGGAAGCTTGGAGGATTGGCTCCATAACCAACAACAACGACGACAGAGCAACAACCTTAGCCTTGTCAAAAGGCTCGACATTGCAATAGATGTGGCATTTGCTGTTCACTATTTGCATTATCTTTGTGAGACAACGATAGTTCATTGCGATCTCAAGCCTAGCAACGTTTTGCTAGATGGTGACATGGTGGGCCACGTGGGCGATTTTGGTCAGGCCAGACTTCTATTGGAGCCAGTCTCGCAAGGGAATTATGCAACTACAACTACTTCTGGCGTGAAAGGCACTGTCGGTTATGTTGCTCCAGGTAAATGCGAACTTAATTTTCAACCTTGTTGTCGTAAAAGTGATCCACTACCAACTGACACCATAATTTTGAACTTGAATTAAAAAAAAAAACTTATGATTTCTTCAGTGAGACGGTTTCAATGATTTATTAGATATTTTGGTGATGATATGAATTTAAAATTATTTATGATCAATGATAACTTCATTCTTAAATTAGTGTAAGTTACAAGTCAAGTATGTTATATATCATGGTTCTATCAGCAGTTTACCAACGGTTTTGTAATGGTTAACCATTGAACCCTAAACCACTAACTTTTCCTGATCAATTTTCGGTCCGATTCCGAAAACAAAGGTGGTACGATATTCGAATAGGGCATGAAATGACTGAGGTGAATTGTTTTTTTTTTAAAATAGTGAAAAGGTAGTTATCTAAATTTAATTTTAGTGAATAGAATTGAATTTAACATAACATTTAGATTTAAATTTTAGTCCAAGTTTTCAGATTGATGGTTGTTTCGGTAATAAAATGAAAGTCTAAACCACTTAAGTAAGTTGAAGTTGTTTCTTTTTGCATTTCTTGCAAATCAATGAAGTTTGGGGTGCTATAATGTAAAGTTTAAAAAGATTGCTGGTCCATATAATTATTTTTGAAACCCGTCAAACCCTGTAAATGAATTTTGGTTAGACAATTTATAATTTGGGTTGACTTGTGTTGAACTTGTGTAGTACAACATTGCATAATAAATACCATGCAATGGTGTGTAACAATGCATTTATAAAATTGCAGAGTATGGGATGGGGTCGGAGGTGTCGACCAAAGGAGATGCATACAGTTTTGGAGTCCTTGTGTTGGAAATGTTTACGAGGAAGAGACCTACGGATGAAATGTTTAGGGAGGGTCTGAATCTCCATGATTTTGTTAAGGATGTTGATTCTCCAGGAAAACTTGTCTCGACTGTGGACCCAATTCTTCTAGGTGAGGAGCCACAAGATGATGATGAAAGAGGGAGAAGGAATAGGGGGAAAAGGATGGAGAAGATACAAAGTTGTTTGATGGCGATACTTGAAGTTGGAGTTGGTTGCTCTATTGAATCAGTTGGTGAGCGAATGAACATGGCCGATGCCATTGGAAAGCTGCAATCAATTAGGGACATGTTGCATAGTAGATGAATGGGATAGTTAGTTAACTATGTTTCCCCATGAATCATTTGTTTCAATCACTTTAAAATCCGATCATTATTATCACTTCGATTGTACATGTATGGACTATAAATAAATTATGATTCAACACAATTTTATATTATATCATTATTCGGAAGGGTCTGAAATGCAATTGCGGGCAAGGATAGGGATTTGGAAATTCAATCCTCCTCCACCAACACGTCTAACCCACACGAAGTTCAGCTTGTCGATTTGGATTTTTGAAAAAAAGTTAACAGGTTTAACTCACTAAACTCATCGTAGTTTATTGAAGGAGGGTCATTGTCACGATCAAATGAATGTTACGACAGAGAAGGAAATGTCACGACCTGGACATGACATTCAGGCCTAGGACGTGACATCTTCTGTTTCGTTTGTCAGTTTTGGGAATGTTACGGGTTAGAATGAAAATTCAAGCCCGAGACCGTGACATCCAAACTTGAGCTGCGACATTCTTTATTCCTTCTGCATGTTTTGGGAATGTCACGGGCATGAATGAAAAATCATGGCTTAGGTCGTGAAATCGAAGGCCAAGCAGTGGCATTCATCCGAATTTTAGGATTTGAAGTTTATTTCCTTATTTGTGTTCTTTGGTGATTGGTTAATGAGTCCCAACCTAACTACTGCTATATGTTCTCTTGTTGCACACCCCTATTTCAGAATGCTTTCATAGGAACCAATTTTTTGGATTCTGGTTTAATTGGATTTGATTGTGATATTTCAGCAAACAGGTCGGTATGGTACAGGAAATTAATAATATAGGAGTTTTTTTTTAATTGTTTCGACAATCGACAAGGTTTCTTTTATTAAAATGTGATGAGAGTGATGGTCCAGAAAATTAAGTGAACAATGAGGTGGAAAGATAAAACTTGTGGAGCGAGTCGTTGGGAGTAAATTACTAAATTTACAACTTGCTTTTCCCTAATCAGTCAATATAGCCACGCCAACTTGTATTTCCCTATTTTGGATAGTTAACTTTTGTCATTAATCAAAGTTCAAGTATTGGTTGTCAATAGTAAGGAACCATGCAAGATCCATCTTGAAATGTATTTTACTAAGTCAAGTTATTACAAATAATATCAGAACTTCACTGATTATTAAGGGTATATTATGTGTCAAGTCCAACTCCAAGTAAGTGCCAAAAGGATCATTTAAGGACATTGCATCTTTCACTGTTAGAGGTAGGCTTGGCATCAGGGCGGATCGGGGACGGGTAACTACATGCCGATCCCCGTCCGTCAAGGCTGACGGATTTCCCCGTCCCCGTCTGTGCAGGTTAAACGGGAGATTACGTCTCCCGTCCCCATCCGCAAACGGATCCGGGTAACCCACGGATCATGAACCATCTACTGGAGATACGGGCGCGATTGGAGATGTGGAAGCCATTTGGGGTTGCAGGATTTTGAGGATGCTGGAGTGATTTTTGGGTTGCAGGACTTGAGTTAGAGTTGACGAAGCCACCTCTGATTCAACTTCAATAACAACCTATTTGCGGTCCGAATACGCCGTCAACATTAGTTTAGTTTAGTAATTGCCATTGGTCCTTTTTTTTTTTTTTTTACTGCAAACTTAATACGAGGTCAACTCCAGAGTAGGTTTCTCGCATGACGACTACCAACCCACTTGAGGTTTTGATATATTTAGCATGACATGAGCACGAATATGCACAACACGATTCGAACCGTGCTCAGTGTTGTGACTTTTATGGACGTGGGTATATGTACGATAGCTCGAGACCGGGTGACCAGGATTGTGATAGAATCGTGAACAACGTTCACTTTCCGAAAAGAATATTTCCACCCTCAACAAGCCTAGGGTTACAGGAAATTTCTCCCGAGGATAAAACTATCACCACTTTAGGTTCCAGGAAATCGAAGGCCAAGCAGTGGCATTCATCCGAATTTTAGGATTTGAAGTTTATTTCCTTATTTGTGTTCTTTGGTGATTGGTTAATGAGTCCCAACCTAACTACTGCTATATGTTCTCTTGTTGTTTAGAAACTGTATCTTCATCTCTCAAGATACAGAAACACCAACAAGAGAAAATCGAAAGCTCCTTGCAGATTTTTCCATGGAGTAGTCTAGTTCTCATGAACAGGAAACCCACGTAAGAGCATGTGTTCTTTTTTTCTTTCATATATTAGTTTTATCATGGTATCGGACTTTTGATGAAGATATTTATGGATTAGCACGCTGAAGTTATGGTTTCAAAGATCGACGAGGAATTTGGAAAGCACCGCCAATGATGGCTCTAACAAAAGCTACGGTTACAAGGTTTATCTCGTATCTTCTCTCTTTCATCAACATTCATATGATAGCCCTAAATAGATGTATGTGGGAGAGGCTCTCACAAATGTGAGTTATGGTGAATGAGTAGTTGATATTATAGAAGTTCTAACTACACAGAACAAGTTAGGCTTTGTTACTGAAGTAGCTAAGAAAACTGAAGATGGAGAGCTTTGGATGCTTGCTTCTGCTATGATGCTCTAGTCAAGGGATGGCTGAAGACAACCACAACAAAAGAAATTTACACCAGTGTTAGGTATGCAAAAATGTTACATAAAATTTGGCTTGATCTGTAGTAAAGGTTAAGTCAAGGCTCCCTTACGAGATCTTATGAGCTCCAGCGTCTGATGGGGATGTTTGATGACGCTCAAATTAATGCGTTCATCATTGCATATTTGGTACATTTTTTCCTTCTATGGATTCATCTTGAGGCATCGGAACTTTGGAGTTTAAAAAGTAAAGCGGTGCAGAAAAGTAAATATACGCTATTGGAGAAGTGAGAGAGCAGAGAAGGAAAGCGTTGCATAGGCAATGTTTCCCCTAGGTTCCTAACCACACACCATCGATGATCGGAGCATACGAGCTGCCGATTTCTTATTTTCTTAGATCACACCTTATGTCGAAGCATTTAGGCAAAGTAATGGGCAACAATGACCCTTCGAATTTCTTTATTGAGACGTCAAACTGTTCGATCGAATGAGGTTTGGTCGAGTAGGACTGCTATTTCTAGACTCATTCTAAACGACTAGGATTTTGATCCTTGCACCTCGAAGGAGTGCAAGGTCGACTAAGCAATCATTCGAATCAACAATAAAAAAATAGAGGAAATCACGCATGACACATATGAAAATCAAGCAATCGTATTAACCAAATCATTGAGTTTACATGGTTAGAACCCCTAAGGTTCAAATACCTACGCAACTAAGGAACTTTGCCAGCCATAGGGAGGGTTTCCTGGATGTTCATCGATGGAAACGAAGACTCCAACAGACCACAAGAATCAGCGGCCAAAACAGAGAAATCAGGCCTTGGGAGCCAATTTTGCCACCGAGTCTCCCTTGCATGTGGTATCGCTCTAAGTCAGGAGGGTTGCTTTATCGACAGAGTAATGACCCTTCCTTGACCTCTCGCCTCTCCCCTCTCCTGAACTCTAGCTCTAAACCCTTATCTATAGATCTTCGATTAGGCTTTCTAAGGAGGAAAAATTGCCCCTTCTCCATCATTTGGTCAATCAGAGCGCTCCAAACACGTGGCTCCCGAATCAAGATGTTTCGGGACATTTTCCTAATGAACTGGACGACTTTCCAAACACGACACTGGTGCCTTCACTTAAATGGCGTCGCTGGCACCTTTTTTCCTTGACGTCCGATCTTCGAATCCTTGCTCAAAGCAAATTGGGCTCGATGTCCCCTATGGCTTCCAAGTTGACCACTAGGCTGCTTAGACCTGAAAATGCACAAAATGCTACCAAGAGCTCATCAATAGTATAAAAGCGATCCTAGGGTTTCTAGAACACACTTGAAGCAATCACATCAATAATTCAATGTATTATGACATTAATGATGAGAAATGTATGCACTTTGGGTCACAATGCATGAGTATTGCATAGATACTTTCACGTGTCATCAAATAACCCCACACTTGAACTTTGCTTGTCCCTAAGCAAATCTAGCATCGACATTCTTCTCCTTACTAAATCTTCACGATGACAGGTGACTTCCGATCTTAGGTAGTTGATCATAGGAAGTTTACAAAGTCAACCTTTGCACTCAGAAACCCTTGATTCCACAATGATGCTCAAATGTACATCATAAGAAGGAAATGATTTGCATCTCACAAGATGGAGTTCTCTTTTCTCCCTTGAGTCGTCTTTTACGAATATTGGGGGGGGGGGGGGGCGAAGCCTATGTAGTTTGATTAGGGAGTATTTGCACTCCTACCCAGATAATCCATTTTGGGTGTTTTCGTATTAAGACAATATTGACACACTGCACAACACTATTTGTGCTTCTTTATATGCATAAGGGGGCTTGCGCCTAGTACTTTGGTACTTAGAAAACTTGGTCAAGCAAGAGCGCTTTTTAGCTTGTTTTCCTCAATCGTGCGATTGGCCAATAAAGTCAAGAGATGTCGAAAGCTTTATCCTAACCCTCGAAAACACATCCTCAAGTTGGTGATCCTATCATACGGGTGGAAATTGTACCTATACTAGAGAGAAACTAGCATAATCTCATAGGCCTCCCCGCACCAAGACTTTACTAGTATGATGCAACCCTGACCACCTCACAAGATGTCTCTCGAGTTCGAAGAACATACAACGATTGTGGTCCGAAGATGAAGGCTTTAGAAGCTCAAGAAGGCAAAGAGAAGAGTCCAAGTGACCAAGAGGTGCTCGGCGTAGGAGCTGGAGCTGTCCAATAGGTCAATTTAATCTGCATCCAAGAAGAGAAATAAGGACATTCTTGATGTCCAAGTTGGCCAAACATGGAAGGGGAATAATTAGTGGCTAAGAATCGTCCATTAGCATTAAAAACAATATGTTAGAATATTTTGGATATTTGTTTCCTTCTTTAACTACTATTTGTTTCCTTCTTAATTTTGTAACCTCTATAAATAGAGGGTGTTATGCCTACGGGCTGAACAACTTTTGATCAATGAAAAAACCCCCTTATTTGAGAGTTCATTCTTGAAACTCTTTTATCCTTCTTAGTCTGTTCGTGGAATCGAGCCATCCAGAAGAAACCGACGTTATCAACTAGCTCATCACCCTAGTTGTGGAGTCACTACGTATACTTGGCCCTCTGCCCAATTGTGGCTTTGGTTTGAGTTATTTTCCGTCCTGTTGCTCTTTGTTTTGCTAATTGAACTTTGCTGCGTATTTTGATTGTTTAAGTCCATGAGTTAGAGCCTCAGCTTATATCAGGTGGTATCAGAGCTTCGGTTCAAACACAGTGGCATACATATGCACCTTTCTTGTGCGAGAACCAGACAAATCAGGTCTTGTGTTCTTAACCGCCGCCAAGAAGGTTTATTTTGAGTTTTTTTTCAAAGAAAAAAAAGAGAAGATTCTTGAAGTTTCAGAGAGGATTCTGAAGGTTTTTGGAGCTTACTTGTGTCGCAGACATGGACGAGTTTGAGCAAGGTAATCTGTTCTGTCTCGTTGTCTGGTTCAAGAGAACTTGTGTTTTGTGATGGTGGATGGAGAGATCAATCCAATTTGATCAGTTCGAGGACATGAGCTAAAGTTAGGGCTTAATACACAACAACATCATAGCCCTTACCTATTGCGATTGTCAATGGAAGATGCTTTTGTATATGTGTCTGAACAAGTATCTGTGAGGTTTCAACTTGGGACATATGTGGATCAGATTCAGTGTGATGTCGTGCCTATGAGGGTGATTCACGTGGTACTTGGTGAACTATGGCATAATGATCGCCAAGCACGACAACATCACAGCCGCAATCATGTCATCATCAGCCATCAAGGAAGGAAGATGGCTTTAAATCATTATCGTTGGAAGAGGTTGCTGAACGTAGGAGGCAATTACAACGACTTTATGAAGAGGAACATGAAAATCTGTAAGCAGAGAAGGTCGATGAAGAACAGGATGTCGAGGAATTCAGAACCATTCCATATCAGGAAGAAGTCAAAGAAAATAAGTCGTCGACCAATTATCCGGATCAGAAGGAAGTAGAAGAAGTTGCGGTAAAGGAAAGTTGTGGAGTTGAAGTGGTTGAAATAGAACATATTGAATCAAGCTATCACGATCCTTTTTGTTTTTATTATGATCAGGATTTGAGGTGTATGAGTCTTCAAGCTTTGATCATTGATAGCTTACTTTGGACAGCTGATTGCTTTTATGGCAAGAAGGCAGATGGTTGTGGCCTGAGTCTAGTAAGGGATAAAGGTTTTGGATGAGTAACTGCAAGTTTCGATGCTGCTGGAGCAACCTATTATGTTTGGAAACCCGGCTGGAGGTTTCACGGAAACATTCATGATTCCTTGAGCTTTGAAACTCATTATTCGAGCCTATGTGTGATCGGTTATTTGAGCTCTTGATTCTGTGGGATTGTGGAGAAAGTTTGTTCTTTTGTGGTGCTCGTTTCAGGTCGAGGGAGATGGAGTCGAACAATGGAGCCTATATGCAGCCACAAGATTTGAGGACAAATCTTTTTGAAGAGGGAGGGAATGATGCAACCCTGGCTACCTCACAAGATGTCCCTCGAGTTCGAAGATCATACAACGATCGTGGTCCGAAGATGAAGGCTTTAGAAGCTCGAGAAGGCAAAGAGAAGAGTCCAAGTGACCAAGAGGTGCTCGACGCAGGAGTTGGACTTGTCCAATAGGTCAATTTAATATGCATCCAAGAAGATAAAAAGGGACATTCTTGATGTCCAAGTTGGCCAGACATGGGAAGGGAATAATTAGTGACTAAGAATCTTCCATTAGCATTAAAAACAATATGTGGGATATTTGTTTCCTTCTTTAACTACTATTTGTTTCCTTCTTAATTGTGTAACCTCTATAAATAGAGGGTGTTATGCCTACGGGCTGAACAACTTTTTATCAATGAAAAAAAACTCTTATTTGAGAATTCATTCTTGAAACTCTTTTATCCTTCTTAGTCTGTTCGTGGAATCGAGCCATCTATTTGTTTCCTTCTTTAACTACTATTTGTTTCCTTCTTTAACTACTATTTGTTTCCTTCTTAATTGTGTAACCTCTATAAATAGAGGGTGTTATGCCTACGGGCTGAACAACTTTTTATCAATGAAAAAAAACTCTTATTTGAGAATTCATTCTTGAAACTCTTTTATCCTTCTTAGTCTGTTCGTGGAATCGAGCCATCTAGAAGAAACCGACGTTTCAACAATATGTGGGATATTTGTTTCCTTCTTTAACTACTATTTGTTTCCTTCTTAATTGTGTAACCTCTATAAATAGAGGGTGTTATGCCTACGGGCTGAACAACTTTTTATCAATGAAAAAAAACTCTTATTTGAGAATTCATTCTTGAAACTCTTTTATCCTTCTTAGTCTGTTCGTGGAATCGAGCCATCTAGAAGAAACCGACGTTATCAACTAGCTCATCACCCTAGTTGTGGAGTCAATTCGTATACTTGGCCCTCTGCCCAATTGTGGCTTTGGTTTAAATTATTTTCCGCCCTTTTGCTATTCGTTTTTGCTAATCGAACTTTTCTGCGTATTCTGATTGTTTAAGTCCAGGAGTTAGAGCATCGGCTTATATCATAGTATCTCTTCCAAAGCCCGGTTTTTTCCCAAGGATGTGACGCCTCACACTTGGCTTTTACCCCACACATTATTTGCGGCAGTATCGTCTATTGATGTAGAATGTATGTGGTAGGATATCGACCCAATTTTTTTGCTTTTAAGCGTAGAAGACTCCTTCTTTGAGGAGAAGTTTGAGAACTCACAAAGAACGGTAGGAAGCACCACTTCATACGTTTTCTTTTAAGATGGATCCAAGTTTCATGACAAGGACATCCTTCATAGCCCCTACACTAGCCTCCCTTAGATCATGTATCGACACAGAGACTATAAATTCAAAGTATGATTGACTTTGTATTTGCTTTAGGTGTGTGGCATTACTCGAGATTTGAATTTTATGTGCAAATGCACACATAAAATTTCCTTCACTCACTCGTAATATGCATGTGACTGGCTTTCGCGGGCCATCCCATCCTTCTCACCAGCTTCCTCATGGGCATGATCCTAACCGTGAATTTTAGGATGGGAATTCTCAACTTGATGAATTGAGAATAAAATTGCCGAGAGGACGGCCACAATCATAGCCGTGAATCGAGCCATGAACACGCTCACGTGGGCGTGAAAAGGCAGTGACCCGCAGTGCCAAATTCATTCCTCTCGCAATGTCGATTTCAACTTGCCAAAACTGATAGCGAGGTGATTTCATCGCAGGGTTGACTTGAAGGCACACTAAGCAACTCTCATTTCTCACAGGCGTACTCACTGACTCTTCCTTCTCTCCTTGCTCCCCATCCTCTCTTTTTCATTCATCTCTACTTGCTCGTACTCCATTCCGACAGATCCACTCTGTTCCACCATATTCATAGGCATACTACTCCCTCTTTTCTTCTTTATCACCCTATTAGTACTCCCTCCCTCTCTCCCTCCCTGAGAGCCACTCTAACTTTCATTTTCTCTTATATGCCCAATTCTATCCAGCACCAAGGAAGTTTGGCATGTGCGAGTTAAGTCCAATTCTACCCACAATCAAGGAAGTTCGAGCATGTGAGTTTGTACAGTGTAAGCCCTTTACACATTTAATTCTTGAGTTTAATTTTGTACTGTGTGTATATGTAATGAAGAACACAATTTATGTACTCCCCATAATTGTTCCTGCTTTATACCTTGATGTGAATGGTCATTTTCCTCTCCTCTTTATCCCTTTGATCATATATGGACAATGCATCTTGTTTTTTTTTTTTTTGGTAACACAATTTCATGTAAGGGAATGACCTTTTTTAACATTGCTCGCATACCAGACCATGAACGAGCAGCACTAGGATGCTTTTGAGCAGGAGAAGCAGATGGAGTTTGAGGTGACTCAAGCTTAGTGCTAGAGAATGGTGGCTGAGCAGTCGTGGCTCTATTCATGGATGGAGGATTTCACCAGGTCATTTCGCACCCTCTTTGCGGGAAGTGGACCTCTACCAGGCCCCAACAGTTAAGAGTATCAAGACTTTGAGGAAGCAATCTTTTTATTTGAATTTGAAAATTTTGAGTCTTCTTAAAACAATCATGAAGAACTAGCTAATCTCAACTATGTATTCGGAGTTGGAAAGAGAATCAAGGTAGCTCATTCCAACCTTAGCATGACTCGCTATCTTTTACTCCATTAAGGACAATGTCCATTTTCAAGTATGGGGTGAGAATGGTTGGTATGATTTGCCTTGATATGCTATTTACTTACTACATGATTAGTTGTTCAAATTTGAATTTTTTCAATGGTAAGTGGTTTTGATATGTGCTTCAACGTGTTTTGGAATTAATAATGATTTTTTACATCCCCTACAATATGACCACTTTTCATCTTACTTTATAATAATTAATAATGATTTTTTTGAAACTAGTCAAACACTGTAAATGAATTTTGGTATTAGTGAATTTGGGTTGACTTGTGTTGAACTTGTGTAGTACAACATTGCATAATAAATACCATGCAATGTTGTGTAACTATACATTTATAAAATTGCAGAATATGGGATGGGGTCGGGGGTACCAATCAAAGGGGATATATACAGTTTTGGAGTCCTTGTGCTAGAAATGTTTACGAGGAAGAGACCTACGGATGAAACGTTCAGAGAGGGCCTGAACCTCCATGATTTCGTTAAGGCTGTTAATTCTCCAAGGAAACTTTTCTTGATTGTGGACCCAATTATTCTTGGTGAGGAGGCACAAGACGATAATGAAAGAGGGAGAAGGAGTAGGGGAAACATGATGGAGAAGATGCAAAATTGTTTGATGGCGATACTTCAAGTTGGAGTTGGTTGCTCTTTTGAATCCGCGGTGAGCGAATGAACATGGTCGATGCCATTGGAAAGCTGCAATCAATTAGGAACATGTTGCATAGTAGATGAATGGGATAGTTAGTTAACTATGTTTCCTCATGAATCATTTGGTTCAAACAATTTTAAAGTGCAATCATTATTATCACTTTGATTGTACATGTATGGACTATAAATAAATTATGATTCAACACGATTTTATATGATATCATTACTAGGAAGGGGCTGAGCGTTGCAACAGCGGGCAAGGCTAGAATCTAGAAATTCAATCCTCCTCCACCAACATGTCTAACCCACATGAAGCTCAGCTTGTCGGTTTGGCTTTTCAAAAAAAGTCAACAATTTGTAACTCACTATACTCATCGTAATTTATTAAAAAAGAGTGCCACTGTAAAAAACAGGTGAATGTCGTGACAGATAAGGCAATGTCACGGCTTGGACATGACATCCAGGCCTGGGCCGTGACATCCTCTATTTTGTTTGTCGGTTTTGGGAATGTCACGGGTAGGAATGAAAAGTCATAGTAGAGACCGTAACATCCAGACTTGAGTGGTGACATCTTCTATTTCTTCTGCCTATTTTGGGTGTAAAATTCGATGAACGGTAAAGATGCGAAAAGGACAACACGCGATTTACGTGGTTTCCCCGTTCGAGGTGAACGAGACTACTCCACGGAGAGCTTGAGGCTCTCGGGCTGAAAGTTATTATTCTTCTTGGTTCTCTGTTACAGTTCGGATGCTGCCCTAGCCGAATTACTTAAAGGAAAACAAACCCTAGCCCTAACTCTCCTGAACACATGCAACGTGGAGAGTGGGCAATTACAAAATGACCCCTAAATTATTAAACCAATAATTAGAGATCACTACACTCCCCCTCAAGCGAAGGAGTGAATGTCGAGAAGGCTGAGCTTGACGAAGAGATGATGAAACTGATCAACACTCAATCCCTTCTTGAATAAATCAGCAGGCTGGTCGCAGGTGGCAATCTTGGCAGGAGCGATCTCACGGGAATGCACACGCTCACGAACAAAGTGGCAATCCATCTCAACGTGCTTGGTACGCTCGTGGAATACCGGGTTGGCTTCAATGTGAAGAGCGGCCTGATTATCACAATACAGAACGGTGGGACCAAAAGGAGGAGCACCGAGATCCGAGAGGAGCCAGCGCAGCTAGATGATCTCACTGACAGCACTAGCCATGGCCCGGTATTCTGCTTCCTCGGAAGAACGCGCAACAACGGTCTGCTTCTTGGTTCGCCAAGAAATGGGGGACCCCCCAAGAGTGATAAAGAAGCCTGTCGTGGAGCGACGAGTAGTGGGACAACCACCCCAATCGGCATCACAAAAACCAGTCAACGTAAGCGGCGAGGTGGCAGACAGGAAAATACCTCGACCAGGGGACCCTTTCAGATACCGGAGAACTCGAAATGCAGTGTCTTCGTGTGCCTGATTCGGGGACTGCATTGCCTGGCTAAGGAGATTAACAACATAAACAATATCAGGGCGTGTGACCGTCAAATACAACAGGCGGCCAACCAGACGCCGATACGCTACAGGATCACGTGCTGGGGGAGAAGGGTCACTACCCAGACGATGTTGCTGCTCGATCGGAGTGGAGCAGGGACGAGCTGCAGTCAAACCGGCATCGGTGAGAATATCAAACACATATTTCCTCTGATTGAGAACCATACCCTTAGGTGAGCGCGCAACCTCAATAACAAGGAAGTACTTAAGAGGACCCAAGTCCTTGATAGTGAAGCGATCATGAAGGAAGGTCTTAACCTGCTGAATAAACGGG